GAGCTGCAGGGGACAGGAATAGACGAATAGGAATGTACAGGAATAGAGCTGTCACTGCAGAGCTGTTTTATGGGAGCACACAGAAGAAAAGACAAGGAACAAACAGACATGAAAAACAAACTTGTTACTGAGTAATCCAGCTGGCCTGGATTGACCATGTATGGCGATCATTTACTCTCTCTTGTTCCACCCATTATGACTTATGACACACATTCTATATTAATGCACTTGAATGGCATAAAATATACAGGCAGGAAAGAAGGACACAGTCTGTGCTGTGTCATACAGGGTTCAGATTAGTTAATAGGAAAGGCACTGCCACATGACCAATAATACCTTTTTAATAATTGTCCAGTAGAATCTCTTTGTCTTTCTGTCTCACTGTTGAGCTCATCAGGCTTCATTAACCAGCCAGAAGTCCAGGGGGAAGCAGCAGCAACTGTGTTGTGCTTCATATTCTAGCCTCGTCCAATACCTGACCATGCCTTCACTTGTCATTCTTCACTCAGACAAATATTACATTTCTGTATCCAGACTATTGAACTGATCCTTCATGGTCTTAGCCAAGGCCTTTGTAAGTTCACCCCAGAGTGACAAATTCTGAAGCAAGTAAGGCTGTGCGATATGGCAATATATATTGTGTGACGAGAGAAAAACTTGTTTCATACTCTGCTATATTGTTTATGTTGTTTTGCATGAAGAGTGAATGTGAAAGCAGAACAGGGTCATTTTGACCAGCCAAGACAAAAGGGAACTCGTACCTTAAAAGGTCCAGTCCAGACATAAACATCACTAACATCTTACACCATCTATGCAAGAATCATGTCAAACAGTACGCAGAAAGTTTATATATATTATATGTTTGGTATTGATATTTTGACCATATTATTATTTTATGTATGTTTATACATGTTTAATTAAAGACAAAATGTTCCTATGCACAGAACTAAATTGTCCTTGTATTTAGCTGTAACCGCTAGTCTCCTACACATTACAGTAATGTGGGCGATTACAGTAATAGTGCAGGTATTAAGAAAAAAAGCATTTGCCTTATAATTTGGCTGTGGTTTCCAGTTAACAAAACTATATTTGTGGTCTTGAGAATAATAAATTATCATTGCATTGTAAATTGTTGTCATACTTTTTTGACTAGTTTTAGGATTCACTTAATGACTGACTGTCCCTGCAAAATACCCAACACAGCACAAGTCACCTTTTAACTTTCCACTGTGGCTTTTAAAGTGAGATGACGTTAGTTGATGTTCCATTAACACCAGCTTCAGATACCCTGTGCTGCTACATTTATGTCTGTGTGCTGTCCAACTTTAAGAACGGAGTCAGTCTTTTTGTGTTTAGAAAGAGATCGTCTTAATTGGGAAAATCTTGCAAAATTTGATCATGTATTTCATTCATCAGATATTCACACCTTTCTGTGCTTTTGTCTCATTGGCTGTTGTGTGCAAGACCTTGAAATTGCTGCTTGACTGAACAGCCTCTCCGATTTTAGTCCTATATCTTGGCAGGCAGGTCGAGGGCAGTACTTCTGTATGTCAGCCATCATCATTGTGTTCTAGTACACTTTTCCATCTGTGAAGGTAAAGGCCCCAGTTTTTCTCCCTAACAGAGGATAGCAATTGTTCTTTATACCCACCAGGCAACCCTAGCACAGTTTGCTACTTTGTTCGTGTGTGGGGTGTGAGTGGGTAGGTGTGTGTGTGTGTGTGTGTGTGTGTGTGTGTGTGTGTGTGTGTGTGTGTGTGTGTGTGTGTGTGTGTGTGTGTGTGTGTGTGTGTGTGTGTGTGTGTGTGTTACATCACTTCCCAGTCTACCTGGCCTTATTTTCTAGCTTCAAGCTCTTAAGCCTGGCCTATCTCTCTGAGGGATCTCCCACTAGACACTGATGTAAGGCTAAGCTTTGGCTGCCAGGAAGACAGTGTACAAATGGCTTTGTTCAGCAGAAAAGCTACGTTGACACTCCCACTCACCCACTACTTTACTGCAGGCATCTGTGAACAAGTATAGTGAATGTTGATGGGCTCGTCGAAGTGTACTGAAGTTGTGACCGCAGTTAATTTACAGGATGTTCTACGGAAATACTGGTATTTAGACTCAGGTATTTAAGGCGGAGCAGTAAGGAGGATGTTGGTTTTGCAACTTTCAAGCCACTGAAATTCTATTGAGACAGGTAGAGACTGTAGAAGAGCTCTCTCTATACTAATTGAAAAATAAAATCTAGCCAATGGAAAAAATAGACAGTATTTGATTCATATATTAATGAGAAAAGCTGCTACTCTTTATGTACGCATTTGTTTTGATGTCTGTGAGCATAAAACGCTTAGTGTAACTACAATGTAAATAATCCTGATATGAGATCTACTCCATGATCTTTGTACAGTCTACAACTTACATTGTATAGCATAGACTGAGAAGAACTTCACTCAACAACAGCAACATCTGCACAATAATAGCCCTGCAATGACTATTTCCTTCAGGAAGTTTGTTCAATGCTTGGTGAAACTAAAATGTATCGATTCAATTCTGCAGTCATCTTTTAGGCCAGAGTTTTTGCCTGTGTTGATTTGGTTTTCCCTTGTAATGTTTCTGTAAAGCTGGGAATTAACAATGCTACAATCATATTTCATTTATTTTATATATCGTACAATTGGTATTTTTATCGAGAATTAAACACAATAAACTCTGTAAATATAGAGTGCCATATACTATAGTGTGAGTGTATTGGATTACAAGTCATGCAGTTCTGGTTTCTCTTCATATTGTCAAAAAAAAGTTTTTACAGTAATAAAAGAATGAATGATTCTCCAGTACTATTTTAAATTAAAATCATTTTGTAGAGAATGAGTTGAGGTTATAGTAGTTTGGCCAAAGTACTTTTGGTCTGCTAGTCTCTGAGATTATTTGATTTGGACTCAAATATCTTCCTTCAGTTGAACTAATAGTGTTGCCCTATGCTACATTCATGCCAATTTGAAATTTTCAACAGAAAACAACAGAAATTAAGCCTAATATATTAGCTATTTTTATAATTTCCCGATAATTGTTCAAAGTCAAAAGTAAAACCAAATAACACATAGCTGAAACGATTCTACCGGATTTAGTTGTGCCAAGTGGGAAATATAGTAGCAGTCAAAAACAACTCAAGGCTGACATGTTTTCACTAAGCTGATTCTTATTACTGTATTCTATATGATATGACATAAACGTGTCATTATGTACCTTAAACTACCTGCCAGCATTATTTTAGAGACCTCTACTGTTCAAAGAGGTTTCCTCTAATGCTTCATAGGGGATCTGCAGTTGGTTGTCTTAGCTGTTTATTGCATCTGACCTGAGCTAATATTACTGTACAATTTTACTGCACTATGAATATCTAAACAATGGGACTTCTCCTTCTGTTGTAACTGAATTGTGTTCGTTGAATTGTTCACATACTCCCCTCATTTGTTGTCTCCCTCAGTGGAGTCTGCTGAGAGGGCAGAGGAACAGAGGGAGTATGGAGGAGAGAGGAGGGCGCTCTGTCGGCATTGATCACAATAGAGACGAATTCAGTAGAATAAAACTCACTGGTTTTCTCTGCTCTCTTTTAGAAATGTCAAACACCCACGCAAGCCTCTCAGTCCCTATACAGTCGTCCCCCCCGCCCCCAACACACACAAACCACTCTGTTAGCAATGCTACAGGATTTTGTGTAAATGATCTTGAAATGATCTTCCTACACACAATATCTCCTACTCTCAGTGTGCGTGAGAGTGCTTAACAATAATGGAATATAGGTTCTACCTTTTTATGGCTTGAAAATCACTATCATTGCTCTCACCCTTAGCGTTTAGCCTGTCATCACTGCTGTCTTACTCCACCAGAAACCATTCAAAGCAGTGTGCCACCATTTTCTTCTTTGTATTATAGTGTGAGGATCATGGTGTTAAGCGCATGTTGAATTCCAGACTTGGTTATATTCCCTGAACTATGTTACAATTTCAGTCACTGTAACGAACAAAGGTTGGTTCTGCTTCACACACCTCAGCAGAATCTGTGTAGCTCATGAAAAGAGCTAAAATGGTCGGGCTAATTAAATATAATGAGCTGTGTGGGTTGTCCATGTTCAACCCTTTCAAGCAACTCATATCATGACATGTACCTTTTTATCAGAGGTAAGGATAATTGCAGATCAGTAAAGGTTTCACTTTACTGAAGCCTTAAGATTCACCCATCTCAACACAAATTAAACCAGACAACCTGAACATCTCTCTTAAACAATAAAATCTAGTTGAAACTACTGGCTCATCTTACAAATAAAGAAATGTGTTACCTATGCCTTTTATAGTACCTCAAGTACTTAATTTTACGAATTCCATTTAATTGTGCTAAAGAAATAATCATTCAAGCATACAATTCTCTATAGATTGTTATATTTTTAGGTTTTCAAGGCAGCAGGACATTTATTGTTATTATCTAGCAAGACTGCATTACAAATGTAAAATGACTTTCCATTAGTAACCTGTAGCCTTCATATAGTGTTCTTCTCTCTGTTGTTTGGGCTGCATTATCCATGCAGTATGTGAAGTAGAGATTGTTATAGAAACTGAGTAGTGCCTCATGTAATAAGGTTTTAGAGGCTGTTTGGGAGGCTGTAAAGAGATCATAGTCTATAATACAGTATTGAAGTTATAACAGTGGGTTTTTCAAGCGTAATGTTACGTTTATCCTAACTTACTTTCTGTTCTAGCTACTCAACCATGAGATATTTGTATTTATCCTACCCGGTTTTTTGCATTTTACTCTGTCTGTATCTCTGTATGTTCTTTCCAAGGTTTCCCAAATAAACAGGTAGTATTTTTGTGCCACTGGAAAATTCATAACATACCCACATATGGTACTGCATGTGGGTGTCCATTAGTGCCTGAGTGAAAACATTGTGCGGTAGTATTCTCTGTGATTCTTATGCATCTCTTTTATTTTTCTCTCTCTTTGATTTTCCCAAGATGTGGCTAATGGCAGTACTGGCTACAAGCCTCCTCCCAGGACCAAGGAGGTGGTCATCAATGGACAGACAGTCAAGCTGAAATATTGCTTCACCTGCAAGATCTTCAGACCGCCACGTGCCTCCCACTGCAGCCTCTGTGACAACTGTGTGGGTGAGTGAAAATGAAATCCTCTGGAATGCGAGTGTGTATGTTTGGCTGATATTTGCTGTCTAAATTTGACCACATTCATTTTGAGACATTAGTATAATGTATAATATAGTATAATTAACACAAACAGTCAAGACCAAACATCTTCTATCCAGTTTCTGGTTTGTTTTGCTACTAAATATCTGTTTATATGAAAGAGAATCCCATTTGTTATCCTGTTTCTTAGAATAAGCTTGGGGTTGATACATGTGCTGACACATCTACCTCTCCACCCCCCACCCACACAGATAAACACACAAACATATAATATACACAAACACACGTTAGCACACACAATTCAGATAAGTCGGACAAATTGCATCTGTATGTGAGAATACAAACCAAGCCAAATGTTTAGTTTATTATGCATATCTACAGTATATATGCTTACAAGAGTTGGCATTCACACACAGGGGAGGGAGGGAATAGGTACAATTAGAATAACGGAAAGAAAATGGCAGCATAATGTTTGAGATTTTCTGGTCTTCATGATCACATGCTCGGTCTCTGAAGATAAAGCGAAGAGCACAGCTAGGCAGTTACTAAAAGATAGAGACAGAGATACAGAGACCTGTGTGTCTGTATCTTTCTCATCGGGGTTTCTGTGCTGCTTGCTCATTAGAGATAACTCCTTCTTTAAATGTCTTTTTCCCTGTCAGAAGTGGGGCTGACTAAAAACCCTGCGAGACAAAGATGAGGAAGTAGTAAACACAGGAAAATGGATGAGGAGTTGGTAATCAGAGGGGAGAGATGCACGCTGGCAGGAAGGAAGACAGACTGGCAGCTTAACAAAAAGATGGGAGGGCAGTCATTTTCACAAGCAGACTATGTATGTATATACACAAAGGTGGTATACATTAGGTGGATTGTTCAAATTTTCCTCCTAGAGGTCCAAAGCTCCTGTCCTGCTCGGAGTTCCCAGTCTGGGCAGAGTTAACAGTTTGCAGCAGTTAGCAGTTATTTTAGCAACAGCTAAAGCTATCTGTCCATCAGGAATCTTCGTAAATCAAAGAGAGTTGAGGCAGAGCAGCCGGAGGAAAACCAGGAATAATTTTCTCCATAAAATACGATCCCGTTTCCCCACAATTTGTGACATAGTTGGTCAGGTATGATGTAGTGCTGCAAAGCTTCCCGCCCTTCTTGAGGGAGATCGTATCCAATGTTAATAGTGCAGCAACATGTGTTCAAGGTGCAGAGTGGTAAAGAAAGAGGTAACCATTCTCCTTTATTACAAGTCAGTGTAGCTTAAAAACGATTTTGAAGTTGTTATTTTAAGGTCAAATACTTGTTGCTCTAGACCAGTATAATCACAGGAGATGTTTGGTACGAAAAACCTTTAAGGCGCAGCAGTGTGGTCGTATATATCCAAATCCTTGGGAATAAGGTTTAAAGATTATGTTTAGATCATAGTTTTGAGCCATAGATGGGAGGGAAATGAAAAATGAGAAACTGACACATAGTTGGACTGTCCGAACTGCAGGTGGGTGGGAGCGATAAACTCCAGTGATGAATGTCAGTTGTAACTCGTGTTTTTACTTTCCCCTCTGCTCTCGAAGCTCTAGGTCTCCTCCCAACATGGCTCCATATCTCCAAAATGAAATCATGAGTCAGCCAGGTTTCAGTGTGAAGCTGTAGAGATAAAGTATGATGAATAATAATACAGGGAATTAGGTCATTTGCAGGAGAAAGGGCCAACATTCCCTTCTCTAATGAGAGAAATATTATATATGTTTATTTTATAACCCTAGCATGTTTGTTTTGTCTATAATCAATATAAGTAACAAATTGGATTTTGCACTTGCTTCGACTGGAAATGGGGATCACATTGACAGTGAAAAAGTGGTCCTTCCCTTGTATCACGACTTCTCCGTCTCTCTTTCTCTTCCTCTGGAGCTGTAAACGCCAGGGGGCTAACAAGCTCTTAAATAAGTTAGCAGCCAGAATGGAAAGTGCCTCCCTGGTGGATGTGGGGGATATGAATATGGTAGAGTCACTTCCTTTTTTAAGAGGGTTATCCCCCTGGGAGTGTTAGAAGAAGCTTATAAGAGTGTAGAATTATGATACACACACACACACACACACAGACCACTTTCCTTTGCCTTATGTCCTGCTCTTTTTTTTCCCTTCACAGTATATACTGTACAGATGGTCTCACTGTTTGTGTTTTAATGCTAGTTGTTGTGTTTGTAAGTTTCAGTGCTTGTATATGTGTGCTGAGAGTTGAGATTTTGTGATTGATTTAGATTTGACTTAGTTGCTGTTTCAAGCTTTTGGTTTCACTGAGGCTAATGAGCAGCCAGTGCCCCTAGTTTCCACCGTTGCCTCATCCTAACCATAAGGGGAAAGGTTCATCTGAAACTTTGAAACAGCACACATGCTTCTGACATGGTTTATAGTGATTTGATTCTTACATTTTTTTGAATATCAGTGGAAATCAATGCTCATTGTTCACACATCCTCACAAAGCTTCCTTACAATGACAAATTGAGAGCAGGAGTGTATGAACACACATAGAAGAGCACCAAAAGTCTAATTTCTCTCCTAGCATCGTTTAATATTAAAGACTATTGTGGCAGGCCGTGGTAATCAGATGGGACTAGTAGCTGCTGTCCCCTTTTTATCCTGTCTGACTAGAGGCTGCAGTTCCTAGACACACTCCAAACAGGCATTGATTAATGAAGACAAAAGCAGGTCATTTCACCTCACTAAACAAATAATGGCTCTGATTAATTAGTTAAGTAGCTACCACAGTGCACAGCTAGTAGTCCACACTCAGAGATAGGACTGTGGAGTTGATTTAAATAACCACACTTACAATAAGCACTCTATATATATGTATGTTGGAACAGTTTCTTTTTCACATTAAAATGATCAAGTAGTTGAATACTTCAGACTGCATTCAGATACATATTTTGTGTTTTGAATGCATTGCAGACTGAATTACGGACATTTTATTCACTTAAACAACACATATATTCAGATGAAAGAGGCACTTTGTTCAGTTGTGCACACTGTACCAAGGTGGCTGACGGGCTTCTGTCTGTGTTAACATATTGGAAAAGCCCAGTCGTTCTTAGCTACATGATCTCTATGGAAGGAACACTGCAACATTTACTACCTATTTTTTTGTCTTGATTTACAATTCCTCAAACGTCTTCAGATATTCTTAAATTGAGGTCTTACTGGAGGCACTTTATCTGTTGACCCAGAAAAGTGCTTCTTTCACTCTCAGTCCCACAGTGACAGGGGGAGTTTTTCAGCCATGCACAGTCATGTTGGCCAGCCTGTTTTATTAGCTAGTTCATATAAATAGCCAGTTTGCACTATGTGAAAAATGTGTATGTTATTATACCAAGACCCAGAGGGACTCTTCACCTTTCCCCTAATTTCCCACAGCTCCAGACTGGTAGTGTGTTCTTACACGCACTGAAGAGACCTGATCTTTTTTTAAAACTCAAATCAATTTGCATTGAGAAAACATAGACATCTTCTGGAGAAACCTGATTTCTAAGGCATGAGTATAAAACCCAGTTTCTAGTGGGGCTTTTACAAGAGCACATAAGCATGATGGAGACTTCAGACAGGAAAAATATCACTGTGGCAGCAGTGTGGTGTGATAAAAGAAAAGACTTGTAGGTGTGTGTCGTTGTATCCTAAATAAACTTTTCTTACTCTCCCTCTATCTCTCTCTCTCTGTCCACGCAGAGCGTTTTGACCATCACTGTCCCTGGGTGGGGAACTGCGTGGGAAGGAGGAACTACCGTTTCTTCTACATGTTCATCCTCTCACTCTCCTTCCTCACCATCTTCATCTTCGCCTTCGTCATCACACACATCATTTTAAGTAAGTAGCTGAGGGGAGGGAAGAAGGACGTGTGCTCAGGCATGGTACACACACACACACACACACACACACACACACACACACACACACACACACACACACACACACACACACACACACACACACACACACACACACACACACACACACACACACACACACACACACACACACACACACACCTCCTGGCTGTGTTCTTGGTGTGTATCGAGCCAGCAGGTTGTAAGGGGGCGTTGTGAAAAGCTGCAGCATTCTGGCTTGTTACCATCTTTCCAGCTGGGAGCAGGCAGTGGACTGTTGGTCACTCTGTGTGTGTGCCTGCGTGTGTCTGTGCGTGTGTGTGTGCGTGTGTGTGCATAAATGACAGTCAGTGGATCAATGTTTCACTAGGAAAAAATATGGGCCAAGATTAACTGCTAGAAAACTGTAGTGCTGATTAACAGTCTTTTGAGCTTGTTCTTGTTTCTTTGATTGTAACCATGCTGTGTTGAGTCTAAATGCTCTCAGATTTGGCAAAAAGGCTTCATAGCAGTTTGATGTCTCTGATTATGAATACATAAAAAAACACAAAAGTACAGTAGTGGTAAAACGTGTAGTTGTCTCAGTCCTCCAGTGCTTCGGGTGCTGAAATCTCATCTTTAATCACAATATTTCCTATATTCTGTAAAGACTTATTCAAAATGAATATGTTTCTGCACTCTCTTTGTTGGATTTTGCATAGTTGCAATTAAAAGCAAAGTAGAAGGACAAAGAGATCTCTCCTGCAGCCACACATAGCTGGCCAACACTTCATTTTTGGTCTTTCGTCTGGCTCAGTGATCCTACTCTTCACACTTGGGAACTAAATTGAAATGCAAATTCAAGTGGGCACCCTCTGCCTAGCTCAGTTCATCTTGTTGACAGACTTTAAACAAGAAAGCGCTTGTAGCAAGTTATGGTGCCAGGACGTAGTACCTAATATTTGATACAAATTCCCATATTCAGTAGGTGTTGTTTAATATTGGTGGTCTAATGGAGACTGTCTTTCTCTGTTCACAGGCTCCAATCGAAACGGGTTCCTCAGCGCACTTAAAGATAGTCCTGCAAGATATCCTTTCACTGAAAACTGATTTTTGGCATTTACTGTGAAATGTGTCTTGAGTGTTTTGTCAAATTGTTGCTTCTGTCTGTCCATGATTTTCTCTTTATACCTCTCTGTCCAAAGTTTTTTACTCACCCAGCTTTCCCTAGATTCAGTTGTATTACAGCTTTACATAAACTAGCTTGCCTAGCGAGGGCCCATACGGGTCATTCTGTGGATCAGAATTCATTCGCATGACATGTCGTTATGTCCATTGCTCTTGCCAGTTACAGCACTTGCATAACTGGTGCGCTTCTGATTAGTCCTGTTGCACTGGAGTAACACGACACGCGAAGCAGCTCGTCAGTCTGTCTCTGTTGTTTGATTGAGTCAGTCTTTGATTTCATCTGGCTCTAACTTGGCTCCACTCCCTCTACAGAGATGTTGTGTGAGTGAGATTTTATATGAGCGCTGGTGTGTCTATCTGTGTTATAGATGCCAAGTGTGTGCAAGATGTCTTAGGCTTCCACATATCCTTTAAGTCAGCTTGTTGTCTCAACATCAGTAATAATCGTGTGGTCTTCAGTAAATCCAAGCAAATGTCAAATGTTTTATTTTGGCACCGCAATAAAGTTTGGTTTCACACTATTTGACCTTAGCTTTTAGCTGTAAATCGAGGCAGGAAACGTAGGAAGCACCTAACGTTAGAATTTTAATTTATTATCACCTCTTGAACACACTATTATTGAGTAGAGAGTGAAATTTATTTGACCTTTTTTAACCAACACCTTTTTAAATATTAATGACAGCCTAAACCTGCTGTTGCTTTCAGTGTACTCTGCATTATGTTTTCGGGTTGTCCATGTGTCCAACCCTTTCCTGTGAACGCAATATCACAGGAATGCCTCGAGGGAATTTCTTCAAATTTGGCACAAATGCTCTCTTAAACTCTGTTTTTGGCCATGACTCAAGAATTGATGACGATATTTCACAATTGGTGACACTTTGACTCAAAGGTCATTAGGGCATTTAGCCATAATTTAAGAATGAATTGGGCGATTCCAGATTTTACACACATGACACAATGAGTAAACAATAACTAGCACCGTATGGGCTTTCGTCTTTCCATCTCATCCATTCTGCCTTTCGACTTACTACCTCATTCTGAACTTCAAACTTGACTGGTTGGCGGAGGCAGACAAACGCGGGGCAGTAATTAGAGCTGGGCGATAAATCGATTAATTCAAATAACGTTTTAAAACGATGCAAAAAATAAAATGGCTTAAATGTCAAATTGAGATTTAAACTCTGAATGTTGTAATGCGGGGATATATAGCTATAACTCAGGAAAACAAGTCTTAAACCACTCAATACGTTTTACCATAGTATCCTACAGAAGAAGGGGTCCCAGTGAGGAGACATTACAGATGCGGGGGTGTTTTATAGTGTGAACATTTTTTTTCGGCTTCTCCGATAATAACCAGAATCTATGATCAAGTTTGGAGAATCAGAATTGATCAAATCTAAATGATACCCAACTCTGTTTCTAAGCCACTAATCAAGTTGAGAGCACAGAGCAATGATGTCTCTCCCTCTCTGCCCTTCTCTCTATGGCTGAGTGAGATAACTGTTTCTCTGGCAAAGAAATGTGTGCCAACCCAAGCTGATAACGACCTGTGTCCTACAGGACTTTATTAAAGGGGAATTGCCATCGATAGTATCGTAGCAGTTCTTTGTACTAGGTGAATGATGACATGTTTCCTTGCTAAGAGGAAGAGACTGGGGAAGGAGGAAAAAAGAGGGCATTTAGTTTACGTTATTATATTAAATTATTATACTGACGTACCAAGTAATTAATTTTTTTCAATATGCCCATAGGGATGTATCTGTACTACATAGTGTACCTGTAGTGTTTGGGTATTTTGTAGGTCTTATTTTATAAATATGATACTCTTTTAGAAACTTTATCCTAAGATGTAATTAAGGGTCACTGTAGTTCATTTTCATAAAGGCAGAAGGATTCCTCTTGGACATTGTGTATTTTTGTGCTTTATGTAGAGCAGAGAAAATGAGCAGTGTTCTGTAGTCCCAGCCAAATGAACTGGTAACTAGGGACTATTGGCAAGAGGGGGACAGCCCTGAGGCTGTAGGTCAATATGCTAGCTGTTAGAACTTGTACTATTTTTTTTATCCGTGCTGGCTCCGTATGGGTTTTTGATGTGTGTGTCTTTGTCAGTGTTGTCTGTTTCACTGAATGTAAGGATGGATTAAATGGAAACTGTGGCAGATTATTCCTTAATTGTGTCACTGTGCTGGAGGTGGTGGTGTGTTTCTTCTCTGTCTGGTCCATAGTGGGCCTCTCAGGCTTTCATACCTACCTAATCAGCTCCAACCAGACCACCAATGAAGATGTGAGTATGAACAACTATGAAATAAACATCAGTGTGTTACATGTGCTGTTTATTAAAATTTCTTAGTTTACAGTTCAGTATAAATTATTTTTTGAAGCCACAATAACATAACTTTAGAACCTCAGATCTTGTGTAATAAACCAAAAAAGTACATAATCTCTGTTATAGTCTTAGAGTCTCGATTCCAGTGAGACCGGAGATACAATAATCTGTCCCTCTAAAACTGTGATTCATGTTTTGTGATCTTCTCCAGATAAAAGGGTCTTGGTCTTCTAAAAGAGGGAAGGACAACTATAATCCCTACAGCCATGGCAATATATTCACCAACTGCTGTGCAGCCCTGTGTGGACCCCTGCCACCAAGGTATGACACATGTGAATGTGCATGATAGTATTTATGAGATGATTTACATATTTCCAGGTGGCCAGATGATGACATATAAGCCCTATCATTCCCTGCTCTGAGAAAACCCATTCTGTAATTTTTCACCTTCTCAGTAATAGGTCACACCTGTTTTTTTTCCCCCTCATTGTAATATTCTGTTGTGTCCAAAGGCTGAAATAAAACTGTTCGTCAAGAATCCTTTTGATGTGAGGAGCTGCTTTGAAATAAGCCTGCCTGCAGCCTTTTCTCAACACATAGCAACTAAAATACTGCAAGAGTGCAAAGGATTTCAAGCCCGTTTTAACCAAATCCAAGATCAACATTGGATAGATATATTAGATTTCACGCTTTTGCAGTTCACATGATTTAATAAAAATACAGTCACAGCTACATTCTCATGTCCATGTGCCTGTAAGGGTCAGTACACATTGCACATTCCCTCCCAGCTTCACTATTCTCACTATTCAGTACCAACAGTTCTCATTACTGATCTCTGTGAAACAGTTTTTTCCTTTGACTTAAACAACACTTTTTTTTTCACCGTGGTTAGAAATGTGTTTGTGCTTACTCACTGGATCAGAGATACCGACTACCGCTCTTATCTTTACTGGCCACTGTACCCACTCTGAAGATACAACACTCAATGCCGCTGTTACGACGTCACACACATCCCTTAGCCTTTGGAACATGCAGCCTTTAACTTTGTCTTTTGCTTTGCACCTATTTAACAGTTGAGAACAAACGTGGCCACCGGAGCTGATTGCAGCCATTCTAGATAATGCGTGTGAATCCACCAGATTTCAGAAGCATCCCCAAAGCCGCTGTCCGCTTCGTGTCACGGACATGATGGAATCAAGGCGTTAGAGAATCACAGTCTCTAGTTTAGCAAATGCATACAGTACCTTCTCATCTTACTTAATACATCTAAAGAGACACATACTCTCCCGCAAAGTATAAGACGAGCAACGATGGAGGCTTCTAGGAACATTCGCTCTCTCTGGCCATTACAAGCCCTAAGTCACCAATAATGATACCTGTGGGTGGCAAAGGAGAGTCCTCAGTGCCCAGGTGGCTGCCATCTGGGTTTGTGTGCGCGTGCGTGCGTGCGTGCGTGTGTGTGGTTGGCCACAGGCATTGCACAGCTGGCTCTACCAGTAAGAAAGAAATGTTTCACCTCAAACTATGTAAGCAACGCTGCCTCTCACACACTGAGACCTCTTGCACTTGATTCCCTGCTGAGACCTTGACTCACATTTTCTAATACATCAAGCATAAATATTTTTATGCTTGTTTCCTCCTAACTGCATTTGCAGACGTTCCTGTATTCATTACCAGCACTGCTGTTGGTTTCCACCTGAATCAAGCTCAGTCCCACAGGAACGCACTGTCAACACACACTCTGTTAAATGATTACCCTGTTTATGCTGTCTAACACCTTTGTGTGTTGTGTGTTTGTGTGTGTGTGTTTTTTGTTTGTTTGTGTGTGTGTGTGTGTGTGTGTGTGTGTGTGTGTGTGTGTGTGTGTGTGTGTGTGTGTGTGTGTGTGTGTGTGTGTGTGTCTCTCTCTCTCTCTCTCAGAGATTGCTCTGTCAAATCAACCTCTATCTGGCTGATAAATAGCCATTATCACATACATCTGGCTCATGACCACACATATGTCCATGTGTATACTGAGAGTTCAGCAGGTTGTTGTCTAACCAGCTGTGTCAGAGTTCTGCAGCATTAAAATTAGGACAGAAACAATGATTCACTCCAGTGCTCCACTGCAGGACCTCAGTGATTTATTACCAAGTTGGGATTTTATGTGTTTGTGTGAGTGGAAGATCTCTGTGTAAAGACTCAAATGTTTGTAGGCTTGTACACAATAATACAGCACACATCTGCACCTGCACACTATTGTTTCTATGAACAGTGTGGGACCACTGACACAGTCATTTGCACTCTGCTAATCCTTCCAACTCCCATTGACTCAACATAGCTGTATGATACAGCACTGTTTCATTTGTACATCTGTGTTTTCAGGATTTCAGGGCTCCAAAGAATCTATTTGTTTAGACTGCTCTACTGTATTTAATCTCTTAATGGGTAACACCATTTGCTATGTAATATTTGTGAATCAACACCTTTCTCCCTTGTTTGTTTCTCTCTGATTAGTCTCATTGACAGACGGGGCTTTATCCAATCGGACACACCACAGCTGGCACCACCAACCAATGGCATCACTATGTATGGCGCCACCCAGTCTCAGCAGAGCCACATGGTAAGACACTGACCTCCAACATACTACCATCTGGTTGATCATTTTATAGATATGAAAATGAAGACTGAGTCACTAGTGGTTCACAGTGAGTGGGTACTTGATTGATGAAGTTTTAGGAATAGTACAGTCATTGATTAAAGGGACCGGATACTTTAGATCCTCTATTCTCAAAGGTTTACCAGTATTGTCTCACAACCAAACATTTTAAAGTGTAGTTCAATACCAGAGGAAACACCGCTTGAGCAGCTTTTTTCAAAAATACAACAGAAGAGCAAGAAATGTATCCATTTACAGTACAGCCATACAAACTCAGTTTTCCTGCTGGACACAAGATGTCTCCTATTTCACTGTACAGTCCATTCTCAGTGTATGAGCACTGGTGGCTTCAAGCTTCTACATCACACTATTTGTGATGTCACAAATTATGTTCTTAGGCCCCCCGTAAAATCTGATTTTCAGTGAGCACAGAGACACTTTGCATTTTCAGCAGAGGAATGTAAAAAACATCTTTCTAGTGTCAAACTGCACAAACATCGTGTGAAGCTCAAACATCTGTAGATGATTTCTGAGGGGAAGGGGACCTTATGGATTATAACATTTAGAAACACTGAATCGACTAAATTCACCATTCCCGAGTTCCTTGGCTGCAGTACTTTTTGGCCAGTCTCAAACTGGCCATACCGTTACTCCCACAGAGCCAGGCCTTGGTCAGCGTGACCCGCAGAGACAAAGCATCTTTCACAGCAGCCTGTCTGACAGAGTGAAAGTCCAGCTGTTGTCTTTTGTTTATTTGCCAGAAAATCAACTCTCACAAACTGATTAAAATGAACTTAGACCCATGTCAGTTTGAGGAATTGAAACTACAGATAATACTTTGTACATGATTGTCTCTAATTGTAATGGTAAACGTTAGCTATTGGTTTAAGGACTAGATAACGTCACCTTGGCAGAGAGAGTAAAGGCCAGATGAGGTCAAACTACTTCAAATAACAGCTTCACTTAATCCTCTTACACAACATACAGCAAAATCACAAACGTTGTCATTTTCTAACTGTCCAGACCTCGGAGAGCCAATCCAGTTAGTCTTCCTTATCCTACTACAATGAAACTGATCCAATTTCTCTGGATTGCGAATAATAAGAGAGTGATGTTTTCAGTTTTGCATGTGTCACTCCATGTTGTTTGTAAATCCGGTCAACAGTAGCAAGGAAGGCTCCTGTATGATTTAACTCTCCCTGATCTCAGACATTCTCCTGTCTCCTCTTGGGTTTGCTCATCAGTCACACTACTGTATTTAAGATTAGGGGTTTCCTCATTATGCTGATGGTGCAAGTCTTAGAGTGGGCCCAAAAAAAAAAACTTGGGTAGGAATCAGAAAGAGATAAAATATATTAGACCATTTTGTGCAACTTCAGTACAAAGTTAACCACAGTCAGTAAATAGATCGTCTCCTTCAGTCTTGGAGACAATAGCTGGTGTCATGAAGAGGACATTGTACTGACCTCACTGACCAGTTTTCCCCTGGTGTCTGAATAGAAGCAACAAGTAATCTGTTGTTCAGTTTAGCTGGTAACCTCAGCCATTACACGCTAGATTTAAGGCCTGTTTACACACAGCTATTAAACGTCTTTCACTGGTGCCCTCCCTCTGCGTCACAGTCATCTCGTTGTTCTCATCCAAACTCTACCTCATCCTGTTAGGTCTCATTGAGATGTCAAACATGACTGTCATCTGTCTTTGCGTCCTAACTGTGTGGACGACTTGTAATGGGCCGAGAGCCACGGGAACATTCCCTTACGTTAGCACATTCAGAAATAACTGCCATCTGTTTTCTGTAGCGGCCGTGATTAACAGCCAGAGTTGTCCTATTGTGCCGGCTGCTAGCCATTTATCTGCACACTGACACACAGTCAGCTTGATATCCATTTGTTAAAATCTGTAACATGCCACATTGGTTACTCGTCAGGACTGTAAAAAAAACCTTACAAATCCAGACCACGAGACCACTTATTTCATGTCCATGTTAAGAATATTACATCGTCATGTAGGTTTCAGAGAGACTGTTGGTTTGAGTTAGTGAAATTGCTCAAACCACGATGACTAAAAGTCTCCCATCACATTCTGTCGGTTTACTACTGAGGTGTGTGTGTGGGTGGGTGCTATTTGGAGAAAGTGTGTGAATGTACATGAAGTGTGTGTGAGAGAGAGATAGAGGTGGCAAAGGTACTGTAGAGAAGTATAAAAGTATAAAATAGAAATGTATCGTAATGATTCATACATTTTGTTCATTTTATTCTTACAGTTGTTTTTACCCATTTGATGTCCCCACAGTGTGGGGAATACAGTACAGGAGGTCGGCTATTTTTATCTTGGAATCTCTTGATGTCAACTCAGGACAGGAGAGACCTCATCAATAGATTGTGAATCAGACATGTCACATAGAATATGCAACAAATATCATTTCTAAGCCTAAAGATGAAAGAAATACATTATATATTTTTTTTCAACTAGGAATTGATAAGCACTTAAAGAGTAACTCATGTAGTTCTGTTTTTATAGTACTCTGTTGGTTAATGCATTGAGGTTGTATTTGTATTTTGGCGATTATAAACACGGTTTCTTTTTGAGGTACTTTTGTCTGTGATGCAGCTTAAAACGGCAGCCTCTTATATAGAAGCCTTGTAAGCGGTTGCCATGGTAACGGTGTGTGAAATTATGTCACATTACACCCAGACAACATAAAACCTCCATTTGGGATTTGACTTTGTGGGACAGCAGTCATTTTCAGTTTGCTGATGACAGGAGTCGTCATAGTGTTCAGCTGAGGGTCAGTTCACCCAAATGACACAAAAAACACAAAACATGGCATTTTCTGGTTTCAGCTCCATGAATGCGAGAATAACTGGTAATTCATGTTTCAGACTATTGTTTGAACTATAGAAACATTTTGAAGACGTGATGTTCAGCTTGGGAATATTCTATTTTTCAAGCATTTCTGAAAAAAATTAAAAATAAAATAAATATATATATATAATTATTGTTGTTATTATTATTATTATTATTATTATTATTATTATTATATTTCAACGCCATGAGCATTAATTTCCATTATAAATAAAACCAATGTCTGCATGGGAAGGTACCACTGTAAGTTGGTGAGAACATTTGTTTTGGGTGAACCCGTCCTTTAACTCCAGGGTACACCATCTGTATTTGGCCATTTTTCTATTTTTGGTCTTCTTTCTTTCTTCCTGTCCTTCTTCTTAGTCATTGCATTAAAATAGCTCACAGCTCACAGAGTGCAACATAATCAACCACCATTTCCCTTTTGATGATTGCACAGTGAGTGATGGGGAAACCCCCAAAGCCTTGTTTTCTGTTTCACCTTACTCTTACTTCAGTCAGCTGCATGAATGATGGTGTTAGTACCTGAGAATGCCCAGTTCTCCTGCATACGATTAATATTTAGACCTTGTTTACTCCGTTTATTAAAGATTACATAATGATGGTGGTGTTGCCTGTTTTTCTTGCCCAGTTCAACCAACTGTATAATCAGTCACCTGCTCAGTCACAGCAGACGGTGGTCTCCCATCCTGTAGCTGAACATAAGTCAATAATAGGTGTCGGCTTTGAGAAATATCTAATTTTATCTGTACAAGGTTGTGTTCATCCTCTTCATGACCTGACAATTGTTGAATTAAACTCTATTATTGTGGCTGGCTGGTAAAGTGAAGGATCCCCTCACCAGTATGAGATTTCGGAAAATCTAGATTAAGTGGACAATCTTCAAATGACTTGTTTTGTCCAATCTACACTCCCAAACCCAAAGATATTCACATCAAATCCCCTCAGAAGCAGAATTGTTTGTCATTTTTGCCTGGAAAATGACTTTAATTATTAATTATCAAAATTGTTTGCGCAAATATCTTTCTGTCTATCGAATAAATGAATCGAGCAATTATTTCAGCTGTACAGGGAAAATGTTCTATTTCTGTCTCCGTACACATTTACTGGGGTCTTTGTCAAGCCACTGCCATTCTGTATATGATGGCATTTAAATCTAGGATTACTTTTTTGATTAGAGGCAACAAAAACATGTCCTGTGCTGCTTCACTTGCTATCTCATAGCCAAGGTTAGTCTATCAGCAATCTATGTACATATTGTTCCTTGTAGTTAGTGTCTGTCTGTCTGTCTGTCTGTCTGTCTGTCTGTCTGTCTGTCTGCTGTGGGGGATGGACAGTGCTGAGTCAGTCTAACTGTGCCTGTTTATAAAACATGAGTGGGCCTGAAAGTAAAAAGAAAAGGACAAAGCTGTATCTCTTTTATCCCCCCTCTCCATTTTATGTTCTACACTGACGATGTAGCTCTGTGCTAACGTGGCTGTGAGGTTTCCGTGTCATTTCGGTCCAATAAACCTCACTCAAATTAGTCTTCTTAACAACCCAGAGAGAGGTTGTTATAAAGGTGCTAAGTGCAGTTTATACGTGCAGCTGATATGGATTGATAGTACTTAGAATCACATCTACTGTCAAAGGTAGCTCAACTTCTGTTTAAATCACATCTGCAATCTGCTCTTTTTAGGTCAGTGAGATTGAGACAGAAAGGTGAGATATCTGGGACAAATCTTGCTTCAAACTTCTTGTCAGTCAGACTTGTGTGGTGTGGGTTGGAAGGAGGTATCAAAGTACTTTTCCTATTTGACTGTATGGCTTTTTAACTCCTGTCACTTCTGCACAGCTAGTAATCTTTCATCTGTTGCCTCCAATACACATTATTGCTCTGTGGTGGTAAAGGGCTAATGGGGTTAAAGCTAATCTCCCTGTAGCTAATGTATGGTATTGATGTCTCTCCGTGCCCTAACCCAGTTCCTCCGCTCCAGTTTTAGACGTGTGATTTCCACTCTGAAGCTAGGTAATAGAGATCAATAGGTCATGACGCAGTGACATAATAGCCCCGTGTTTTCCACTCTGTCTACTGACCTCAGCTCTGTTTTCACTGGGACAGATGAACGAGCTGGTGCGGGTTCTTTGCGTGGCTCTGCCTTCTGACAAGGGTACTAACATCTTTTTTTCTTTCTTTTTCTCTCCCTTATCCAATCACCTATCCCCTCCTCTGTTGTCTTTGCACATATTCCTGCTGTTTCCTTTCCTTATGTCGTTTTTCCCCCCTCCGTCTACTTTTCAACACTGCCTCACTCTTATGTGTTTTCTATTTCTGTCCTTCACCTCCGGCACCTTATCTATCTCTTTTGACTTCCACATCCCCCTCCCATACTGTCCTCCCTCTCCTGTTTTCCGCTGCTTTCTCTCAGTGTGACCAAGACCAGTGCATTCAGAGCACCAAATTCGTTTTGCAGGCCGCCGCCACCCCTCTCCTCCAGCAGCAGAGCAGCGAGCCAGTGATCCTGACGACCTCCCCCGAAAACGGAGGCACTCTAACTGGCCGCACCTCCCTCACCCTGGGCGGCCCGTGCACCTCGCTCCCCCTCGGCCAGCCCACCCCTCCGACGTCCACCCCCAGCCTCAGCTGCCACGAGGCCACCGACATGCTGCCAATCCACGGACACAGCCTCGCACACAACCACAGCCACCCCCTCCAGGAGCCAGTGGCCCACCACCACTTCCTTACTCCAGAGGAAGTGCCTTCCCCGCCAGGTATGCTTCCCTGCGGCAGCCCCCTGGGACACAGCCACACCATGCAGGCCGGCTTCTACAACCCAGCCAGCCAGGACTCACTACACGAGGACTCTGTCAGAGGACTGGTAAAGCTCAGCTCTGTCTGACAATGGGATATATGCCCCCTCCTCCCACCTCCTCCCTCCTGAAAACATGCATCAAACTCATGAAACTCTCCTGTGCCACTTTTGTACCAGCCCGCTCTCACCCTGAGTTTTCCTTTCTCTCCTCAGCAGGACTCGAGAACAGAAAAAGGCTGTGGTTTAAATTCAGCTGCTAGAAACTGAATAATGGAATTTAACTGAACCGAAGTGAAACCAGTTGTCCTCCTGGCCAATGTTTTGCCAAACCTCTCTGCTGGAACTGGGAGAGATGTTTTGTTTTGGTGTGTTGGTCTGTGTGACAAACATAATGTTCTCACTGTTTGTTTTTTATTTTTTTTACTTCAAGGGAAGCATTATCCACTAGCCCCTGGAAAATGGACAGGGGAATTTCTTTTTCAAAAGTGGCGTATGTCTGTGAGCCATGTCAAGCAAAAAAAAAGAATACATGTTTTGACCGTACATGACATTTTTGGTCAAAATGACAAATTTCTGTCAATGGATCACATGTATGACAGGTTTTTTTGTAAAACAAACTTTAGCCTATTTGCCTGTTGCTGATTGGACAGCGTCTTTTGCCTTTTTTTCTTGGGACATTCTCAGCAGTGCAATGGCTGATGTCATCATGTTGCATATCATCTTGCATTTTCTATGTTAAAAAAAATAAGAGACTGTTGTACTGTACCATGGTTATTACAAATCTTACAAATTATTATATTTCCTGTGGATATTAATAAAACACCCACTTTTTATCAGATACTATGGAATTAATATTGAGGTGTAGAACGCATAATGTGTGCTAATGTGAGAGTCATGTGGTGATGACATTCATTTTTATCTTGTGACTGATGCCTGTGGTCTGTCGGATGAATGTTGCTTAACATTTATGGCTGCTCAAACAAGGTTAAGACTTTCTTTAGGCTATTAAGTCTCCCGTTCAGAAGTCCTGGTGTCAAGCCTCCAGCATCAACCTTTAAAGATAACTGTACAGACTAAAACAAGTTTCCAGTAATATTTACTGAGTTGTTTGTTCCTTAAAGAGAGAATTACTGTTTCTTTTGCCAAAAAAAGAAGATATCAGAGTTCACTGTCTGGCAGTGGTTGGTGAAAGGCTATCAACATTTATTCTCTTCTACCACCTTGTGGTTGAGGAGGAGTACTGCAGTTGAAAGTATTTTTTTAACATTTATCTAAAATAAAATCAGACACAAGACAGTCGGACTATTCTATAATGCAACTTTAAGCCGCACTAACCAATATTTCTATATTTAAAATAGATGAAATGACACATGTAATGTGTAAGGGTTGTTCAAGGTAACTGGTTCTCAAACTATAGTATGTGTGCCACTGGTGGTTTTTTTCATGAAATTAATTAAAAAATATAATACAATATAAATACTCCAACATTTTGAATGAAAATACTTTTTGATCTATGAGATCTGTGAAATGTAATTTAAAATAAGTTTTGCATTTGTTTCAATATGAGCCTGCTATGTAGTCACATACATCCATGATGAGTCACCAGCTAAAATGTTATGGTAAAATGGTAAGTGGAGGAAAAATGATTGCTTCCAAAACACTGCAATCATGATTAGTAACTATTAGGAAGATGAGTGCAGATCCACCAAACTCAAATGTTCTTATTAGGAACTGTGTTAACTATCTACAGCTCAATAGGGTTGACTACTGTATTTGAACATAATTGTGGTACTTGGAGAGTCTACTATTTTCTGAGATGGTGTAGAAAGTTTGAGAAACGCTGTCCTACACTGACCAAGCCTCAAGACGCAGTTCACCTCAGCTCTAGGAAGCTCTTTTTTAGCTCATTGTTCTGTTTTTTCCAACCCACAACTTCACTGTTTTGGTTCACTCTGTCCATTCTCATCAACCTCATTTCCAGTCACAGCAGGAATGTGTTTACTGTCATAAAGACTGACTGGTGCAGAAGTTGCAGCATTTATCTGAAGACCTGTATTTCCTCTGGAGCTGCTGGAGAACAAAGCAGAGCTAAAAGTAGAGTGAACATTGGACTTTCATTCATCAGGTAGACACTAACATGACTCTAGATAAATGCTCATGTTGCTTCAGTTATGCTGGATAAGCCTTCACCATACAAACTTAAATGTAAAAAATATATTTGTGTTGTTTTTATGCCCTATTGTGCTGCCCCCTAGTGGTCAAACACATCAAGGAACACAGGATTAAAGTAAACCATCTCAACATATTACACAGTGGAAAAGTTAATAGTAACACATTTATTTGTTATTAAATCATTTATGATACATAGAGAAGTTTTTTCATACATATTTTACAACAATTACAACAGACAATGCAAAAAAAACAAAACATTGACACCGGAGAAGAAATACCCCTTATTTTTTATTAGCAGGATGGATCATTGCAGCATTGAGTGGGAGAGCAGTGAGACAACAGATGGTCACAGATGCAGGATTCTACTATATTCTATAGCTTGCATAAAGATTGCAAAATGTAATTTGTTATTGAAATAGTTATATTTTACTGACCCTGTACTGCGCTGTGCTTGAGTTCTTCTGCACCATTACATGTTAAATTGACTTAATTGTCAAGTGCATGGGATGCTGTCATGTGTTAAAGAATCCTGAGGATTACAACCTTTATAGCAGACTGATTTTTTTTTAAAAAAACAATGTATGAAACACAGAAATGTGGGCATGCCTAAAGTAGGCAGGTCCTCTTTAATTAAAATTGTATGTAAAAATAAAAAGCAGGTGAAAATTATTTTAACCATACATTCAAACATTTTAATTTCCAAAGAAAGAGTATAACCACTACTAATTATTTAGTAATGATCAGAACTGTTTGTTTTTAAATTAGCTGTACAGTAAATTATCCTTTATTGGGACTCGCTCCAAAGAATGGAGCCCTTCAGTGTCATTCATTGTTTGTATTAGCTGACTCTCTTGGCATTTAAACAAAGCCAGCACTTGAGTGCTTATTAACATTTACACATTTCCTGTTTTAATTATACAGTGCACTAAGGGCGTATTACAGCAGAGATGCACTAGAGACAGTGTAAGAAATGGACCAATGCAAACCTAACTTGCAGCTGTAAACAGTCACAGTGGCTCACAGTCTGATGCTCCAGCACAGCTAACTCTCATGCATCAGTCGTCTAGCCAGGGCTGGAAACGTGGGCCGTTAATACTCCATGGTAGGGCCTGTCCATGGTCTCTGGTCACCAAAAATGCTAGACTAGCTTAAAATCAGTGACCTATGGTTGCTGCAAGACTAACCTGGCCTGAAGTCAGCACAGAGATGGCCTTTTTTCAGCATCCATAGTGTGGTTCATTGTGGCTAAGCTAATTTAGCATCGATAACCAAAACACAACTGTTGTGTCTGTTACGCTGGTTTCTGTGTAAGTCTAGAGTCCTGAGTCACCACAGTTTCACATCAGTGAGCTCCAGGTCCCCCATGATCTCCAGCTGGTCAATGCTGCTCAGATCCTGCACCCGATGTCTGAACTCAAACAAGTGTGAGCCATTCACTGCCACCTTGAACTGATGGGGCTGACAGAGGATGAGAATCTGACAAGAGAAATAACACGGAGGAAATAGTCTGTCATTACAGAGAGCACAAACGTACAGAGAAGTAATTAATGATCAACTTGTGGTTAGATATTACACACTCATGGTAAACATCAGCAGACAGAAGGAGCCCTTCAAAAAAAAAAAGGTAAGTCGTAGGCAGTTCCTACCTCGAAGTACTCCCCTGACGAGAAGGGAAAGAAGGGCAGCTCCCGCTCCTCCTGACCCCAGGACTCACTCAGGTACGAGTTCCTGGTGAACACGCCGGACTTCATGCGAGGGTTCAAATGGAGAGCAATGTTCTCTGTCCTGCTGTTGCGGAGGTTCACTGTAAAACTGGAGCAAACATGGATTAAAAAGGTACATCTTTTTTTTTAAAGGAAATGTTATTTACATTAGCGGTTAAAAAAAAAAATATCATCAGTTATCACTTTACCTGTGAGGATACGTGCTGACCTGTCCTTTGATTGTGATGTGTTGTCCGGGGCTCAGTCCTTTAATTATACTGCCTTTGTAAGGGAGGCTCTGAAATGAGAATAAAACTGTTGATACATTTTATACGATTATTTTCATTATTGATTAATCACTTGGTCTATAAAACTAGTGAAAAATGCCCAAATTAATTTCCCCCAGTCCAAGGTGACCTTTTCAAATGATTTGAAAACTCAATGACGTTCATTATACCGGCATCACGAATAAAAGCAGTAAACGCTCCCATTTCTGAAACAGCTGGAACCAGAAATTGTTTGGCATTATTATTGCAGCTTCAAATAAAGTGATAATCAACACACTTTGTATCTTAATTTTGGCAACATTTCTTGATGATTAGATTTTATTAATTTGGGCTGTACAGACAAACATACATAGGGAGAAGTAATGCAATAGATATAACATATACAGGACACCATCCCGTTCCTGGTTAGGCTTTTAAATTCAGGTTAAAAGGTACAGTATGTCGGATTTAAGGGCATCTAACAGTGTAGTTGCAGATTGCAACTCACTCGCTTCACCCTCCCTTTCGAGGCACAAGGAAGAAACTATGGTGGCCATGGGTCCATGTACTGTGCACTGACATATTGGTGTGATACTATGTAATATGTATGTAATATGTATGTAGTATGTGAGAAGTTAATCTAATCTAGTATTTTGTGTTCAATGCATGTACATGTGCATCTATAACAATTATTTTGCTACTGCAAACATAAAATGTCTAATTACTGCTGCAGCAGGGAAAGCACAGGCCTCTTACACAAACACGTTGTCACTAAAAAGAAGTCATATGGGGCAAGAAACACAAGTAGTCAGATTATTACCAACATTTGGGGTGTTTTGACTTAGAGCTGCATTAATTTTGGTAAAGATTTATTTTATTGACAGATGCTCACTTTACAGTGTAATTTCAATATTCAGAATAAACTTATTAAAAATAAGAATCAGTTTACTATACCTCAACTTAAATATTTAATATAAGGCTGCACAATTAATCAAAATCGCAATATGGCCAAGTGCAATATCAAATTTTTTTGATAAAACGTCAAAATTGTGACATACCGCATTATAATGAAGCACTGTAGTGCTGCAGGCCAGGGCATCAACAAAACATGTTTGTTTGGTACATACATACATTTTCAGTGAAAATAAAAGTTGTGATGCAAAAATGATCACATTGCAATCGTAATATCCATCACAATATGATTTTTTTGACCATATCATGCAGCAGGTTTTACCTCCAGCTAAAGTGGTTTAGATCATCTAAACACTGTTTACAACCTGTGTGATTGCCTGAAGGCTCATATTTCTTTGCTTCACTGGACGTCTTTGTTGTAGCAATGTTGTTGTGCTCCCAGATTCCAAAAATGACTATAACCAACCAGAACTGTCCTTTAAAAGTCTGAGGTGCTGAAATGAACAGTCTACAGTGCACAAACAAAGGCATCATTTAGGAAATGTGATCCAGTTTTGGTTTGGTTTGGTTTAGATGACGCAAAAGAAAAAAACTCACCAAGTCACCTGATTCTGAATATATTGCCTAAGAGGGACAAAAAGACAGATTTAGAAATGATTAATCAGATCTGTCTAGAAAACAAACACACATGTGACCAGCTTGTGAGGTCAAAATAAAGTAAACAAGGGATGGAGATGTACTTACTGAGTTTGGGATGTAGCCAATAGCGTGCACCCTGACTTTGCCACAAATAGAAAATGTGTCGACCCTGTTTAATGGGATTTTGTGCTTGTATTCCAGCAGGTGAGCACCATTTACTGCCACCTATGGGTGAAGACAAGTGTTTGCTTTTTTATTAATCAAATTGCTATGCACATTTATTGACTCTAGGTACTGCACAGGTTTATTGATGCCTCCATCCTCCATCCAGCACGTGTTCACTGACCTTGAAGACGTCTTCGTGCACAAGGATGATGGTCTCAAACGGGGCGCCACGTTTGTACGGCAGCTGATGGAGTGTTTCCTCTTTGCCCCAGCTCTCTTGCAGCAGGGAGTTACACACCACACAGGGCGAGCCTTTGAAGCGAGGGCTGAAGTGGAGGGCGATGTCAGAGCGCGGCTTGGTGCTGCAGCCACTAGACAGGTCGATCTGAAACCTGCAGAAGGGGGTGCACACCGGGGCTGGATTACCAACCGGGCAGCTCCATTTGAGGTGAGTTCAAGTACCATATCAACAGAAGCAAGTCCGTGAATGGAGGCGAAAGAAATTAAATCTTGACTTAAGGAGCTTCAAAGTTCCACGAAACATTAGACAAAACTACTGTTACCTTTCAAGCCAACAATAGTGCATATTCTTAAATTAGGTTGTGTTTAATCAATCTACCACAACGGACAAAACAGGATTTATATACAAATTAAGCTATTGGGAGTGTGAACAGGGGGCCCTCTTACCCAGTGGTTCCCAACCCAGGGGTCAAGGCCCCCACTAGGGGTCGCCAAAGCTTCATGGGGGGTTGCGAGGCCTTCTTGATTTTAAGGCGTGTTAAGAAAACTTTAAAAATATACACAGTAGGCCTATATCTCAGCATTTGGTTCACCTCAGTGAAGAAAAGTAAATTGCCAGTCAATAGAACAATGGTCAAACGTCAGGAACAGAAAACACTGAATATGTCAAAGAAGAAGCTTATTCAGTCTGTATGATTATTCAAAAATACATAATACGGACAGAGAGTTCATCCAAATCACTCATTTTACGCAAACGTCTTGCTATTACAGGGTTCACTATTTGGGTTAATTGTACAGTTTTAAATATAATATAAAATATCTATAAAAAATGTCACTCGGGCGTCGTCAGTTTATGGGGGTCCCTTAAGGAAAAAGGTTGGGAACCACTGCTCTAACCTATTTATCCAGCCATAAGGTGGTGTAGTGCTATTGGATGGTCTAAAGTGTTAAAGTTCACCTTCAGCCAGAGGACAACAAGTATTTATAATACTTAAGCTTGTTTGAGCAACACACTATTGTGTTGCCAACCTGACCTCTGACCTCCAGGTGGAGGAGCTGAACTTACAGCTGATGTCATTATAAATTCCTTTAAAAGCCATACATATTTTAGACACAGCTGATGTTGAGCAGTGGTTGTTGTGTTTGTTTCACCGCCTAAATGACAAGTCAACATTAACATGAAATGATAAAATATACTTTAACCCAATAGCGTATTTCATTTAAATATTAATTAATTATAGTTTGAATGTAACATAAACTAGTCCAACGATGTAAAAACTGCTGCTTGAGAATATGCCTATACATTGAAGTTCATATTGATGTTACATCAGTTTTATTTCTTTCAAAAGTTTGTCAAATTAATTTCATGAAATGTTCAAAAATATACAAGGTGGTTTTAGTGTGTGTGTGTGTGTGTGTGTGAGTGTGTGTGTGTGTGTGTGTGTGTGTGTGTGTGTGTGTGTGTGTGTGTGTGAGTGTGTGTGTGTGTGAGTGTGTGAGTGTGTGTGTGTGTGTGTGTGTGTGTGTGTGTGAGTGTGTGTGTGAGTGTCAGGGGTTTAAAAAGTTTGGTGTTTTGTTAAACTGCACACAACAGGGTTTGGAAGTTGTTCTAGATTAAAGTATGAGATGTGATTTGTTAAATGATCACATCCTATCTATTTAAAGGGGTCACCTCTTCAATGTGTTTCTCTTACCTGTCAGCATCTGGGGGCACAGTGCCCTGGATGATGATGATCTCCCCGGGGTGCAGGCCTCCTGGTATGGGCCCTGTGTATGGGATCACCTGAGGTGGAGAGTTGACGTTAGACAGCTGGATACCTGCACTGACAGCAGCTGGAGACATGAAACGAGGGAGCTAAAATGATTTCATGTATTAGCCCGGCTGTACCCGGACCGTCTGACAGCGCCGGTGAGTTTACGTCCGGTGTGTGCAGGCCGTTCATAGACAACTGCTGACAGCACAGCGCCTTAAACGGAGTTTGTATCTGTATTATAAGCTACACGAAGGTCTATTGATCACTGCATGACGGCATCAGAGGACTGATAATAATAATAATAATAATAATAATAATAATAATAATAATAATAATAAGCCTCTTACCGGATTCAGGACAGTGTGTTTTGCATTTGCCACAGACATCAGGCTCCTCGTGTCACACTGCAACATGCAACTGTGCTGAAAGAAAAACAGTCAGCGGGGTCTGCGCCGGTAAATAGGACCGGTCAGTGGCTCTCCTCCTGCACTACACGGGGATGATGGCACTGGGCATCTTCTCTCCATAAGCAACAATCCGCGCATGCGCAAATCCTACCACGTGATCAGGCCCGCTGAACGGCAACAAGGCCCAAGCTGTCACTGATTGTTGTTTGTTGTTTTGTTTGTTGTTTTGTTTGTTTGTTGGTAGTTGTACATTAGATACGAATGTTCAATGTTTATTGCATTAAACTGTAACTGTTGTACAATACAGATTTTTATACAGATTACCGATTTTATATTTTATTTTTCCCCCTGATGTTCCAGTAATAGTCATGGGTGTTAATATGAAGTGTTTATTTATTTTTCGTTGTTGTTTTTAATAATATTATTAAGTAGTTACCATTCAGTTCCTGTTCTGCTGACGACGCTGAACTGCGTCAGGTCAAACAGCAGGAAGTGACTCTCTGCCACCATCTTGTGTAGAGACCGTAAACATCCAGTCAGTGGGTGAGACTAACTTTCGATTCACATTTCTGAAGCGCAGCATATTAAGGCTGGTTGCACTAGAAGATATGGGTATTGCTGGTCAGTATCGCTGCTCCTTTTCTTTTTTTCTTTGTTTCTTTCTTTCTTTGTTTCTTTCTTTTTCTTCATAAAAATGTGATATTGATAGTAACCACTGCAAACAGTGTCTGTGATTGAACTATTGGTTGCTGTTTCTTTAGGTAAAGCTGTCGCCATTGGAGCAGGGGCGGGTAAGACTTTGGAAATCCTTTATGGATCACTCTTCAATTGTTTTTAACACATTTTAATGTAGATAAACCATTTACATGCTAAACCAAGATTACACGTGATCTATTGAAAAACGGCCTAACAAGTTCGGATCTGTTTCCGTGTGCAGTCGGTGCAGTCGGTGCTGTGGCCCTGGCTCCTGTTGTTCTGGGAGCTGCAGGTTTCACCTCAGCTGGAATAGCTGCAGGCTCCATTGCTGCCCAAATGATGTCAGCTGCTGCGGTTGCTAACGGAGGAGGAGTGGCAGCAGGAAGTCTGGTGGCTGTTCTGCAGTCAGCAGGTAAAGAAAATAGAAATGATGATGATGATGATGATGATGAGATGATCAGACTCATGTACTCACATCAACATAAACCCTGGTGTCTTATTTGGGTGATTAGTGCAGCATGCAACACAGTAAAATGTTTTCAGGTATGATGTGATGTCAATAGTGTTGTTGTTTCTTTTAATCTTTCTCTTCTTCTCTGTAGTTGGATACCTTTGATAGAATAAAACCTGTGTGCTCTTCCTGTAGGTGCAGTTGGTCTGTCAACAACTGCCACTGCAGCTGTGGCCAGCATTGGAGGAGCAGTGGGATGGCTGACCAGCTTTCTAATTCCATCCTCCAAAAAGAAGAAGAATGATGATGATGATGATGATGATGATGATGACAATGATGATGGCAATGATGATGGAAAAATGAATAAAAATTAATGAATTTACAATATTTTTAACTTTTGTCATGATTACTATCAGTTCATTTAATAAACAACACTTTTGTCAAACTGCTGAAATAATTTATACAGTACATCTGTGAGTGAAAGATACTTTGTGATTGTTATTTATATATATATATGTTGTGCTGCTGACAATAAATACTGCGTGGGGTTATTTTTCCCATGTTGTAAATAAAAATAACTCCACAGACTGTGGGCATGTGGAAATTAAAGTGAAGAGAGGTGAAGTGAAAGGTCATCCTCGGGGTGATGCTAGAAAAAAAAAAATCAGTAGGCTTTAATCTTTGGGGACCATGAATATCCAAACAAAAAGATAAATGCAGTTAATAATAGGCCCCTGCAGGCAGGTCTGTTGTGATGCTCATCACTGGATATGTTCACCTGCCTCACAACTTCAACTGCAACAGGATTCAGATATCGACTGTCTCTAACTTGCTGTAAACAGAAGATGACCTTTGAACTGAAGATGCTTTGCTGCCACTGTTAACTTTCATATAGCAGGTAAATACTGCCCCCCCCCACTGATAAGGGTTTAGTATTGCATCAAGCTGTTACAGAATATTTGAGTAGTTCATCATTTAAATGAGGATGGAACTTAAAGAATTTAGTATTTATTCATTAAATGTGCCTTGATACTTATTGTTGTACTTACTTTGGTCTTGATAAGAGTCTCCTCAACCTCCAGGATCACAACACAATTTCCCTCAGTGAATTAAAGATAAAGTTTGCTGTTGTGAAGGAGCAGTCAGGACTAAACTGGTTTACCAACTCTTTAATGTTTCTGTCTGCTGTTTTTCTTCTGACTTTCCACTTGTAGTCATGACTTACCACCTCAGAAATGTTATATACTTGAGCTTTTGTTTTGTCAAATGGAGAAACGGACTCTGTGACGCCCCCTTTGCTTCAGATTCAAACATAGTTTCATTTCTGAAGAAATGAAACCTAAGCATCAGTAGCCGTTATAAAAGCCAGCCCAGCGCTTATCAGAACAGAGGTAAACATGGACCCTGGTGAGTACCACTGTTACTTTGACAATTTCATTAAAAGTAAACACACTTTAACTTCTATGTTTTCTTTATAAAATTGCAATAATGATAGTAAGCGTTGATTTCTGTTTTCACCCCGTGTTTCAGGTACAGCTGCTGTTGTTGGAGCAGGTCAGTCTTTGTGTTTACTTTTTCAACTGATTTCAACACACTTTAATGTAGACACGCTAACCCCATTTCATGCATGATCCCTTTTTAAAGTGGTCTTAACAAATTAGCAGCCCTGTCTTCCTCTGTTGTTGTCCATGTGCAGCCGGTGCTGTGGCTGCAGCTCCTTTCGTTCTTGGAGCTGCAGGTTTCACCGCAGCTGGAGTAGCTGCAGGCTCCATTGCTGCTAAAGTGATGTCTGTTGCTGCGGTTGCTAACGGAGGAGGAGTGGCAGCAGGAGGTATCGTGGCTGGTTTGCAGTCAGCAGGTAAAAAACATCACCTGTCAAAGCTGGGACGATCATCACAGGGTCATTATGGGCCCTTTTATTTCTTTCTGAAGTGCAACAACACGAAATCCTGGAACTAAAATAAAAATATATTTTCACATTGTCATATCAGAGATTCACATATTTGCCATGTTGAGGTAGAATATAATGCCGCTGCTGTTTATAATAGATGTAACATTGAGTGCCTTGATTTAACCTGTGTGCTCTTCCTGTAGGAGCAGCTGGACTGTCAGGAGCTGCCACTGCAGCTGTGGCTGGAGTTGGAGGAGCAGTGGGATGGCTGGCCAGCTTCTTTTAACTGAAAATCATGAAGGAACCAGATGAATTTACAGTATTTTTTACTTATGCCAACTGCAGTTGCAGATGATATAAATTTAGTTACATAAAAGCATGTTTTTGTGCAATAAATCTGTAAAAACCTGTGAAATATACTGGTTGTGTGTTGTGTTTTACATTCCTCATAATGTCGACTGAGGGAATAAATATATGAAAGTGTTTACTGGTTACTTTACACACAGTCACTTGATTCATTTGTTATATAATATTGATTAGTGCAGCTCTAAGGTAACATCAGCCTATCTTATCTATCTGTCTGTCTGTCTGTCTGTCTAATGAAAGCGTCAAATCCAGAATTCTTCAGTGTTATAAAAATCTTTACAGGCATTAACAATAAACTGTTTTATCACACTCAGGGTGCTGATGTCCCCATTACTGTGATAATGAAATATAAAATATCCACAGACTGCAGAATCTAGAGTTAAATATATTTTAAAACTATTAAGTTATTTAAATCGGTAACTGTGAGGGACAGTCATTTTCTGATTGCACATTTCATTCATCACTTTATTTTTGACTGGAATATGAATCGTCACTTGGGTGTATCATGTGGGTCCGTGTATGTTTTGGTCATTGGATTTTCCTTTCAGAAACGGGTATTAAAAAACAGAAAACGAGTGGTTATTTGATTTTCGTTTTAAAATACAAAAATTAAAATTGAAATACAAGGCGTTTTTCTTTTTCATGGTCAGAAAGGGATGAGCGAAATTAAAAAAATTATTCGATTTTCATTTTCTATTTCATATAACAAAAATTAAAATCACTAGAAAACAGAAACAGAAAAAAGGCCTGTTTTTTCATATTCTGAGACCGGATGTTGTCATTAACAGGACCGTGCTGTGTAGAAGAAACAGTAGGCTAGTAGACTGCGTTCAATCCAGCCGTGAGTCCGATCTCCGTGGTCAAATCAGCCGCACTTAAATTTAGAGTGTACAAGTATTCTCAGCATTATGGTAAATGCGGAGAAACAGCGTATTTACTTCCGGTTTTCAAAATAAAGGTATTTAGAGCCGTAAGCTATAATTAAAATATGTTACATTAAAGTGTTTCATGTGCCCCTGATGAAAAAAAACACTTTATATCAAGTATCTTTACTGCACCAGTGTGGAGAAATGCCAAAATAAAAGCCTCATATTTATGCCTCCAGAGATTGCATATTTGACCATATTTGAGGTACTGTAAAAACATATTGCTCAGTGTTTCCTGGCTACTGATGGTATATTTGACTTTTACACATATGAGACTACAAACATACTTAATATCAAGCATTTTTACTGTACAAATTTGGTCCCATATTTATACTTCCAGATTCCATATTTTCTTATATTTTTGAGCTACTGTAAAAACATATTGCTCTATATTTCCAGGCTATGGGTGAAACATTTTCATTATACTTCAATAATGCTGCAGTAATCATGACAAAATTTCACACAAATGTTTAATAACATCTTGATAATATAAACACTAAACACAAAATCCTACACAATTCTAATTTGTTTACTTTTCTCACAAAATGCAATGCAGTCCACATTCTTCTTATTTTGCTGCTCTGCTGTGTCCATTTGTAGGTAAAAGGGAAAAATAATTAGTTTTAACTTCAACTTTGGGACTTTTATTCTTCAATTTCTCCAAATTGGTACTGTAAAAATGCTTGATATTAAGTATACTTGTAGTCTTAGATGTGTAGAAGTCAAATATATCATCCATAGCCAGGAATTATTGAGCAAAGTGTTTTTACAGTAGCTCAAATATATGAAAATACCACTTGGAGGTACAAATATGGACTTTTATTGTTGAATTTCTCCAAATTGGTACAGTAAAAATGCTTGATATTAAGTATGTTTGTAGTCTCATATGTGTAAAAGTCAAATATACCATCAGTAGCCAGGAAACACTGAGCAATATGTTTTTACAGTACCTCAAATATGGTCAAATATGCAATCTCTGGAGGCATAAATATGAGACTTTTATTTTGGCATTTCTCCACACTGGTGCAGTAAAGATACTTGATATAAAGTGTTTTTTTTTCATCAGGGGCACATGAAACACTTTAATGTAACATATTTTAATTTACGGCTCTAAATACCTTTATTTTGAACACCAGAAGTAAATACGCTGTTTCTCCGCATTTACCATAATGCTGAGAATACTTGTACACTCTAAATTTAAGTGCGGCTGATTTGACCACGGAGATCGGACTCACGGCTGGATTGAACGCAGTCTACTAGTCTACTGTTTCTTCTCCACAGCACCGTCCTGTAAATGACAACATCCGGTCTCAGAATATGAACAAACAGGCCTTTTTCTGTTTCTGTTTTCTAGTGATTTTAATTTTTGTTATATGAAATACAAAATGAAAATCGAATCATTTTTTAAATTTCGCTCATCCCTTTCTGACCATGAAAAAGAAAAACGTCTTGTATTTCAATTTTAATTTTTGTATTTTAAAACGAAAATCAAATAACCACTCGTTTTCTGTTTTTTAATACCCGTTTCTGAAAGGAAAATCCAATGACCAAAACATACACGGACCCATGTGACTTACTGTAGTTTGAAGAATTTCTAACCTAATAATAACTAAAAGTAAATCATTCTACCGTTAGTAATTGTTAATAATTAAGCACATTAGATACAAGTTTACAGCTTTTATTGCACTTAATGTTACGTGGACACTAACGCGACCAGGAAGTAAACATTCATTCACTTCCTGGTCTTTAAGGAAGAGACTGTTTCGGAAGAAATTAAACTACAAGATATGGGTCTTGCTGGTCAGTGTCGCTGTTCCTTTGACACTACAGATATTTTTTACTTATATGTTGTTCAGTAACCAGAGCAAATGTCTGTGATTGAACCAGATGAGCTGTAACTGTCACTGTCTGTTTTCTTCCAGGTACAGCTGTCGCCATTGGAGCAGGGGCGGGTAGGACTTTATAAAGACTTTATGGATCCCCCTCTCAACTGATTTTAACACATTTTCATCTAGACTTGGATCAAGCAATATCTTTTTTTTTTTTAAAGCGGTCTAACAGACTAGGATTTGTTTCCATGTGCAGTAGGTGCTGTGGTCCTGGCTCCTGTCGCTCTGGGAGCTGCAGGTTTCACCTCAGCTGGAGTAGCTGCAGGCTCCATTGCTGCTAAAATAATGTCAGCTGCTGCGGTTGCTAATGGAGGAGGAGTGGCAGCAGGAGGTGTGGTGGCTGTTTTACAGTCAGCAGGTAAATGCTATTCTAGATATATTTATGGTGGTTTTAACTTGTGTGTCTTAATGCTGACATGATCATTGCTGGGACAGTAATCAAAGTGGGAATCATGTGGTGTGCAATAACACAGTAGGTCTACATACAATTATTAAATATTACACACACATCTGGCAGACCTGGATCTTAAACAGCAACAATGATGACATTGTCACGTCAGAGACAGTACAGTATTCAACAAAATAAAGTGTTTAAGGTACAATTTAATAATACTGCTGTAAACACTGATAACAATGGTAGTCTTTCTCTTGTTCTCTGTAGTTCGATACCTCGATTAAAAACCTGCATAATCTTCCTGTAGGTGCAGCTGGTCTGTCGGGAGCTGCCACTGCAGCTGCAGCCGGGGTTGGAGGAGCAGTGGGATGGCTGGCCAGCTTCATCCCCAGAAAATAATGGAGGAACAGCATGGATTTACAGTATTTCTATTTTGCTAATTTAAGAGACAATTGCATCTCAGACAGCTGGCCACAATGAAGTTGCTATTAAACTCATACAGCTGGTTCTGAGGGAGAGCAATGATTACTTTACACACAGTTTCTTGGTGTTGTGCAGCTGACAATATATAACTTCCACATGGAACAGAAAACAGGAAAAAAATCAACAGACTAAACTAATTATCTGTTAAATTCTATGTGTGTTACATGAAGGCACTTTAGTTGTGCAACCTTGTGTTATATAATGACCTTGTGTGACTATTAAAGTGAAATGTGTAACATTTCCACATTAAAATGTCTCTAAACACTAGACCTATATTATGTTGAGTTGTGTACTTACATTATCTCAAATGTTTCCAACAATGTTCAAACCCAGAGAAATTCATCATTTTATTCAGGTAACGGTGCGTTTCACCTGTTGTCAATGGAGTCACATCCCCTTTTAGCATACGTCAGCATTTTGGTTGTCTACCAGAGTCATAAACTGACCCTTTATCCAGTTTTTCCAGGATATACCTTTTTAGAGCTTGCTCATTTTATATTTTAACCCAGATGAAGGATTCTAACACTGCTATGGTCTCTTAAGGATAAATGTCACTGTGCTACCCCATGTCCTATTAGAGTAGGCTGCACACTGGCCAGGCACATTGTAGTTTCTCCAGGTCTATTATTTATTGCATCCTGCCGTAACAATAGATCTGTAGTCCTAGTTGTGTTGCTCAGTTGTGTAGCGCAGGCCTCCGTGGCTGAGTTTATATTTCAGTGTACACAGTGTCATCTTGCACATTCTTAATTAAATGACTAGCCAATTATTTATGAATACATTCAATTCAAATTCATGTAATGGTTATATGTCAGTTAAACTAAAAAAAAAGCTTTTTGCATGAGTTCCCATGCATATAACCTGCTGGCCAAACCTCTAAACTGCTTAACAGAAAGTGAGAGCTTCCACCTTTTGTTACTCTGCGCACTTTACAAGAGGTCCCCATTACTGTGACAATAAAACATAAAATGTCTCCACATTGCAGAATTAAATAGGCTATATTGTATATCCATCAAGACAGATAGATATTTAAACCAGTAACTGAAATGTGATGCACATTTCACTTCACTACTTGTTGTCATTGAACTGTTATTACTGCGCGGATCTTACTCAGCCTGGATAACTGGACTACAAGGAAGAAACTGCTGGAATATCTACACACTATATACAAATATAACTATGAAAAAGAAGTAATAACAATCAGTAGAGGGCAGCAATACGCCATTGCAACTTTTAGCTTGCAGATGCCAAAGAAGAAACAGCAGCAAAGAAGGAGAAGAAGAAGAAGAAGAAGACAGGAGCTCTTTCGTCCAGAAATGGATGTACGCAAGAAGCTAGCGATCCAAGTAGTTTGTGCGCTGATGTGCAGCGAGAAAACACGGAAGAAAAAGAAAAGACTGTGGAGGAGAGAGTGGTCGGGGTCGGGGAGGCGCGGGCAGCAAGGACTGTCAGTGCTGCAGAGAGAGTTGGAGGTTAATAAATTATCTTTGTGCTCTGCTTTTGTCTCAAATCATGGAAAACATGTCTGTGTGTGCTAATTTCTGATAGAATATTATTGTGCTCACCATGCAAGTAGATGCACGACAGGACCGGGTTCAGAGAGATGCTGCGGATGACAGCAGAGGAGTTTGACTTCCTGCTGGGGATGGTCGGACCCCTCATAACCAAACAGCACACCAAGATGAGACGGGCAATATCCCCAAGAGAGCGCCTGTCTTTGACCATGCGGTTCTTAGCAACAGGTGTGTCTGCCAGATTTTAAATTGATGTCGCTGTTGTTTATCACTGTATATTTTATAATTACTTTTATTTCTGATGCAGGTGTAACATTCAGGTCCCTCAGCTTCCAGTACAGGATTGGGGCCAGCACTATTTCACTGATAGTTATGGAGACCTGTGCCGCTCTGTACCAGGTCATGAAGAAAGACTTCCTGAAGGTAGACACTGGTTACCAGACGCTGTAAACACAAATATTCTCTGTTAATATGGTTATAACCTTGTCTCACAATATTTTCACTTTGAAAAGATACTGCTTTTATTGATACTTTACATGTAATTATTGCAACTTGAGAGTGGGGGATGTCGAAGCGTCCATAGGCCAGACACTGAACCCCAGTTTGCTCCCAGCCACTGGGGATACACAAGCCAGGACATTCTTTATTGCTGGTTAAATGGGGAGGGTAACATCAGTGAGGGCCTCCGATGTAAAAAGCCTATGCCAAATCAACAGATGACTGAGTGTGCTGTGGTGACTCCCAACAGGAAGCAAAATAAATATATATATTGTAATGTGAGAGTAGGGGTGGGCGATATGGGCAAAAAATAATATCTCAATATTTTTGGGGATTTTGGCGATAACGATAATCAGTCGATATCCTTTAAAATGTGATTAGAATTGTCTGAGCTGGACTTGTGTCCACCAAACGCATTTACAGCGCTGAGAGCGCTCAAAAACTCATTTTCCGAGCGCCCAGCGGTGTTAAAAGTTGAACAGATTTCAACTTGAAGCACTCTGAGCGCTGCGCTAAAAAAAACCCCGTCTCCGCTGACATCTTTTTACCGCTGAAGGCGCTTAGCGCTCTGAACGCTGAAGCCCATAGGACCCACGTCTCGGCACTAAATCATCTGAAGTACCGGTAGCTTCAGGGACTGGAGGTGCTTGTATTTTCTCTCTACCATGACAACGCGCTGCTAAACTGTTGCAAGGAGGATGCTAGCGAGAGGTCACGTGATCACGCCATGTGATCACGTAGGCCCACTAGTCGTGTGACTGAATCCTGCCATGCTGTAGAGAGCGCTGCTGCACCGTGTATTAATGGATGTGAGGAGTTTCCGCGGGCGTTTCATTGTTTTTGTCGAAGTAATTTAAATACTCGATAATGGAAATTTGCACATCGTCAAAACAACAATGACGATATTATCGCAAACGATATATATCGCCCACCTCTATGTGAGAGTTATAGAATAATGAATTCATATTCACCGTACCGCAGAAATGTATTATTTTTTACCTTGTGTGGCAAATATAATAATCAGTGTACCAAATAAAGTTCAACTCACAGCCTCTGCTGTTTTACTGTCCTACTACCAGACACCATCAACAGAGGCAGAATGGCGGACAATAGCAAAGGACTTTGAATTGAAATGGCAATTTCCACATTGCCTTGGTGCGCTTGATGGAAGACGGATCCACATACAACCTCCAGCAAAAAGTGGCAGCCTTCACCACAATTACAAGGCCGGGTTCTCTGTGATAATGATGGCGGCTGTCGATGCAAATTACAAGTTCATATATGCCTGTGTGAATACCCAAGGTCGGGTCTCAGATGCTGGACTTTTTGCTCAGTCTGACCTGAGTAAAGCGATGGATCGGGGCCTGCTGAACTTTCCTCCACCTGATCCACTGCCCAACTCCGACATAACAATGCCGTATATGTTTGTAGGCGATGAGGGATTTCCTTTAAGGCCTGACCTCATGAAGCCATATCCGTGCAGGCAGATGGACCAAAGTCAACGGGTACTGAACTACCGTCTCTCAAGGGCCCAGAGAGTGGTGGAAAATGCATTTGGCATTCTTGCAAACAGGTTGAGGGTTTTCAGGTCCACCATATGCTTGGAACCAGACAAGGTGGTTAAGATAACTATGGCCTCTCTTTGCATCCATAACTTCCTCCGTGAGCGCAGGTCTGAGGCCTATACACCTCCAGCCTTTGCAGATTGGGAGAGTGCTGATCACAGCATCGCTGAGGGAACATGGAGGAGTCAAGGGATGGGGAGTTTCCAGCCGCTGGAGCATAGAGAGAAACACAATCCATCAGAAACTGCAAAAATGCAACAAAACCTTCTGTGTGATTATTTTGTCTCAGCTGCAGGTTGTGTTCCTTGGCAGGAGGAACACATTTAGTATTGTTGGGATGTTAAGGTTGTATTTTTGTTGTGGAGAAAGTAATCTGTGTGCGTGTGTCACTTTATTCTGCATTGCCTTTGAATGACTTTTTGTTTCAAAAAAGTGCCTTTACAAAAAAAGATTTAGTGTTATTGATTGCTGTTGAAGATACAAGTTGCGTGTACTTCGTGATGTCATTGTTTTAATTGCGTGTTGGGACTATTTTTGTAACATCAAAATCTTATCATTGAAAATATATATAAAATAACTGTATGAAGTGTATAAATAAAACGGCTTTATTGCAGAGTCCCAGGTGTGGGTTTTGAGTAGGAGGATCATCCCTATTCCTTTCAGCATGCTGAGTTTCGTATATGTTGACATCATGTCCATGATGTTTCTTTTTAATGTGGTTTGTATTGGCTATAAGTAGTGAATGCATCAGGAGTTGGGTCAGCCTCGCCTTTCCTGCCGTTTGCTTCAAAACAACTTGCTCCTGCAGCTCTGCGTAAGATTCTGACCTCCACTTGACTCTCCTTGCACATTCCTGTTGGAAGTTGATGGGGAATCTGACTGTTCAGTGGGGGAGGCAGTGTGTGATGCACTAGCTGTTCTGTTGCAGTCACAACCTCCACCATGGAGACCATGAAAGATGCATTTTATCACACTGACTATTCTCCTTACACACCAACAGTTTCACAACCCTCCTTCAGTATACTTGTGATACAAGCATTATAGGCCTCATATCCAACAAACAAGGGGCACAGTAATAGGAAGCAGGTTGACCAAGCAATGAGGAATCACTGGGTGCCACTACAACCTCAACACATCCAAAACCTAATGATTTTTGGCACTGCACCTCAAATCTCCCGTACATATCTCAGGTGAAGCTATAACCATCAGACTCGTTTAAATGTCTTGGCATATATAAAAGCATCACACTCAAATTCAGTATTATCTCAGACTGCACCAACAAAAAAGCCCAGCACAGTCTTCCTCAGACAACTTCATTCAAAGTGAAACAGTGAATCCTCTCACAGTTATTTATAATAATCATTGAAAGTGTCCTCACTTTTTTTGGTGTGTGTATGACAGCCTGGACCAGTGGTTCCTAACTAGGGGTCACCAAATCTTCACAGGGGGTCATGAGGGCCTTCTTGATTTGAAAAGATGTAAGAAAACTTAAAAAATATGCACAGTAAGGTTTAGATCTCAACATTTCCTTTGTTTCTGTGAAGAAAACTAAATGAAAGAGTTGTTTTTAAAGACCTGAACAAAAGCTACATTCACGTAGTTTACCAGCTATTCTGTACTATTGTTATGCTTTCAGTATAATATGAAATATCCATAAAATGTGTCACTGAGTCAGGGGTTTTCAGTTTACTGATAGAAAAGGGGTTGCTTAAAGAAAATCTTGGGAACCACTGGTCTAAAAACTGCAGCACACTGTTGACAGATCCTCCACAATCATAGGTTCCCTGCTCCCATCAACTCATTCTCTGTACAAGAAATTAAAGGGCAGGTTAAATTAGATAACTAATTTTAACTTCCTCACTGTCTGTTTCAGCCTCTGCCCTCTGGGCGGCGCTATAGGTCCCAGATAAGGAATCTGTGACGCCCTCAGTTCATTTCCCAAGAAACGATACCTAAATCATGCAGTATATAAAACTCAGCCCAGTCCAATACTCATTAAAGCAGAGAAAGACATGGGGCTTTGTGAGTATCACTGATAATACTGATACATTTATTTGAAAGGATACTTTTATCTATATGTTTTTCCTTATAACAATGTAATAATGAGATTCAGTGTATGATTGAACCAGATGATCTTTAAATGGTGATTTTTGTGTTTTTGTTTCATCTCTTTTTTTCAGTGACATTTGCATTAGTTGGAGCAGGAGCAAGTAAGTCTTTGGAAAGCCTTTATGGATGTGTTTACTTTTTCAACTGATTTTACCAAACGTTCATGTAGAAATTATATCACATCTTGCATGATCCATTTTAAAGTGGTCTAACAAATTAGCAACAAGGTTTCCTCTGTTATATTGTTTGTCCATGTGCAGCCGGCGCTGTGGTCGGGGCTCCTTTTGTCCTGGCTGGTATAGGTTTCACCTCAGCTGGCATTGCAGTGGGTTCCTATGCTGCTAGCATGATGTCAGCTGCTGCAGTTGCTAATGGAGGAGCAGTGGCAGCAGGAAGCACAGTGGCTGTTTTGCAGGCAGCAGGTAAAATCCTAATCCTAATTTGATGTTTAAAAAGCATGTTAATCTTGTGGTTTTAATTAGGTACAATATAATGACACTGCTGTGCTACTGTTTCATGTACTCTGTCTCATCTCCTGTGTAGTTTGATACCTTGATTAAACCCGTCTGATCTTCCTGTAGGTGCAGCTGGTCTGACAGGAACTGTCACTGCAGCGGTGGCCGGCGCTGGAGGAGCAGTGGGAGGGCTGGTTGCACTCCTAGTCTGAAAATGGAACAAGATGAATTTTACTTTGACTTTACTTTGACTTTTGCCAAATGATGGAAGCAATTGCTAATTATTATTTTTTTGTACTATTAACTAAATAGCACTTTTATCATCTCAGACAGCTGACTTGTTTTGTGCAATAAATCTTCCAAACCTGTGAAAGCTACCGATTCACTGTGTTGTCTTTAAATATTTCTATTTCTCATAATGTCCTTCAAAAGGGAGTGAAGGAGTAAATGAGTGAGTGTTCACTGGTTCATGAACATTTTTAATTATAGTAGCATTTTAAAGACTGTAAAGCTCAGCTGAGTAGAAAATTGTCAGCTGAGGGTTCAAGCTACACCTTTTATGGCTTTAAGACAGGCATAGCATTGACACTTCATCTGGTAAATAAACTCCATGTAAATGTTTGAAATTGCTATGGGAACAAAAACAACAGCAGAATATTTGCTTTATTTTGCATGCATTTTATTTTGGTTTTGAATTTGACAGTATAATAAGATAAACATATTCAAAGAGCACAGCAGTATCATCTTCATTGCCTTTAGATTCAGTTAAATGTCAGAACAAAGATTCATCAGAGCTATAAATGAAAAATTCTTCCACATTTATAAAACAACCTTTTGGCTCAATGTAATACTTCATGACAAGATTGACATTCATTTCATGTTTATTTTGTTGTTTATACTTTAAGATGAGTGTGTGGCATACACACAAAACAAGATTTTATTTAGTTATCAGATTTATCACAGTACAGAAAAAAACATAATTTGTTCATTTGTTTGTTTGGCCTTATTAGGTTAGGAGTAAATCTGTTGCATGTCCAAGCTGTAAATCTTTAATGGGTTCCAGTTTGGTTACAAATAGCTGATAACAGCCATCCTGCTGTTGCTCCAGTGCCAGCTGCAGCTCCAGTGGAGAACCCAGCGGCACCTGCAGTGAAGTTACATTACATGTGAGTATTACCAACAGACCATCAGCTCCATGTTTCACTTGTCTGTAAGTAAAGCTTTTATTCCACAATCTAAAATGACTTCAGAACATCTGCAGGAGATTAAAAGTTACACACCCAATGTTTCCTCCACCCACTGTTATTAGCAGCATGTTACATTTGAATCCATTAACTCATTGAAACCTTTGAGTCTAATGACAACATTCACTCTCTTTGGAATTTAGATTAGTATTAAACCTTTTCTAGATATTTGCATTGATCATTTATTTATATTTATATATATTTTTTTTTTTTTTTTTTTTATATATATATATATATATATATATATATATATATATATATATATATATATATATATATATATATATATATATATATATATATATATATATAAATAAATAAATAAATAAAATAAATAAGTAGTTTACCAAGTGACTGCAAGAATGCCACCAGACCTCCTGCTGGCACTCCTCCTCCATAAATAATGGCAAAATAAGACATCATTTTGGCAGCAATGGAGCCTGCTGCAATTCCACCTGAAGTGAAACCTATGAAGGCCAGAATTACAGGCAACAGGGCCACAAACGCAAGAGCTCCTGGGAAAGAACATAGCAGAATAAAAATTAACATTGTCTCTGATGAGATTACAATGAGGGGGAATTTGATATTTAAAGCTTTACAAGTTTTTTTTCATTTTACCTCCACCCATAACGGTGAACTGACCTGTTAATGAAACACAGAAAGAAATCAATATCATGTTACTCACCCTGAGCTGCCCTGAACAGATAGATTTGCTAATTAATATATTATTTTAAGGTAAATATCAAGGAACAGTATTTTCAAAGATACATATATACTCACAAAGCTCTTCACATCTGTCCATGAGGTAATTCTTACCTGTTAATAAAACACAAAATAAAAACATGTTATTTACACTTACCTGCCCTGGGGAATATTAATTAATATATTATTTTCTGATTAATATGAAGAACCAGTATTCTCAAAGAAAAATGTATACTCACAAATGTCATCACACGTCATGCCAACGGTTTTATAACCTGTTAATCAAAAACATTTTATCCACACTGAGCTGCCCTGGGCAAATATATTTGCTGATTAATGTATTGTTTGATAAAAAAATCTTCCACATTTATGAAACAACCTTTTGGCTTAATGAAATACTTAATGACAAGATAAAGATAAAGTTAAACTGTTACATTGTGTTGACCTTGCAGGAATACATAGTCATACATACATACAGTGGGTACGGAAAGTATTCAAACCCCTTAAAATGTTTCACTTTGTTTCATTGCAGCCATTTGCTAAAATCAAAAAAGTTCATTTTATTTCTCATTAATGTACACTCAGCACCCCATCTTGACAGAAAAAAAAACAGAAATGTAGAAATTTTTGCAAATTTATTATAAAAGAAAACCTGAAATATCACATGGTCATAAGTATTCAGACCCTTTGCTCAGTATTGAGTAGAAGCACCCTTTTGAGCTAGTACAGCCATGAGTCTTCTTGGGAATGATGCAACAAGTTTTTCACACCTGGATTTGGGGATCCTCTGCCGTTCTTCCTTGCAGATCCTCTCCAGTTCTGTCAGGTTGGATGGTGAACGTTGGTGGACAGCCATTTTCAGATCTCTCCAGAGATGCTCAATTGGGTTTAGGTCAGGGCTCTGGCTGGGCCAGTCAAGAATGGTCACAGAGTTGTCCCGAAGCCACTCCTTTGTTATTTTAGCTGTGTGCTTAGGGTTATTGTCTTGTTGGAAGGTGAACCTTCGGCCCAGTCTGAGGTCCTGAGCACTCTGGAAGAGGTTTTCTTCCAGGATCTCTCTGTACTTGGCCGCATTCATCTTTCCTTCAATTGCAACCAGTCGTCCTGTCCCTGCAGCGGAAAAACACCACCATAGCCTGATGCTGCCACCACGTTTCACTGTTGGGATTGTATTGGGCAGGTGATGAGCAGTGCCTGGTTTTCTCCACACATACCGCTTAGAATTAACGCCAAAAAGTTCAATCTTGGTCTCATCAGACCTGAGAATCTTATTTCTCATAGTCTGGGAGTCCTTCATGTGTTTTTTGGCAAACTCTATGCGGGCTTTCATATGTCTTGCACTGAGGAGAGGCTTCCGTCGGGCCACTCTGCCATAAAGCCCCGACTGGTGCAGGGCTGCAGTGATAGTTGACTTTGTGGAACTTTCTCCCATCTCCCTACTGCATCTCTGGAGCTCAGCCACAGTGATCTTTGGGTTCTTCTTTACCTCTCTCACCAAGGCTCTTCTCCCACGATTGCTCAGTTTGGCTGGACGGCCAGGTCTAGGAAGAGTTCTGGTCATCCCAAACTTCTTACATTTAAGGATTATGGAGGCCACTGTGCTCTTAGGAACCTTGAGTGCTGCAGAAATTCTTTTGTAACCTTGGCCAGATCTGTGCCTTGCCACAATTCTGTCTCTGAGCTCCTTGGGCAGTTCCTTCGACCTCATGATTCTCATTTGCTCTGACATGCACTGTGAGCTGTAAGGTCTTATATAGACAGGTGTGTGCCTTTCCTAATCAAGTCCAATCAGTTTAATTAAACACAGCTAGACTCCAATGAAGGCGCAGGACCATCTCAAGGAGGATCAGAAGAAATGGACAGCATGTGAGTTAAATATGAGTGTCACAGCAAAGGGTCTGAATACTTATGACCATGTGATATTTCAGTTTTTCTTTTTTAATAAATTTGCAAAAATTTCTACATTTCTGTTTTTTTCTGTCAAGATGGGGTGCTGAGTGTACATGGATGAGAAATAAAATGAACTTTTTTGATTTTAGCAAATGGCTGCAATGAAACAAAGAGTGAAAAATTTAAAGGGGTCTGAATACTTTCCGTACCCACTGTACTTGTTTCTTGAAGGATGCTTTAAGATGAGTGTGTGGCATACACACAAAACAAGATTTTATTTAGTTATCAGATTTATCACGGTACATAAAAAACATAATTTGTTGTTGGCCTTATTAGGTGAGTAAATCTGTTGCATGTCCAAATTGTAAATCTTAAATGGGCTTCAGTTTGGTTACAAATAGCTGATAACAGCCATCCTGCTGTTACTCCAGTGGAGAACCATGATAAAGCAGCAGCTGCAGTGAGGTTACATTACATGTGAGTATTACCAACAGACCATCAGCTCCATGTTCAACTTGTCTGTAAGTAAAGCTTTTATTACACAATATAAAATGACTTCAGAACAGAACATTAAAAGTTCCTCCGCTGTTAGCAGCTGCAAAATATGCCATCATTCTGGCAGCAAGGTAGCCCGCTGCAATTCCACCTAAAGTGAAACCTAAGGGAAGTGCAGGAAACAAGGACACAGCCACAGCTGGGCGAGAAGATAGCAGAATAAACATAGTCTCTGATGAGATATTGATATTTAGATAGCCTATCTATTTATATTTAGATATCTTACCTGTGCCTCTAACATAAACAGAAATCAAGATATTTTTGCTAATTAATATATTTAAAATGAAGGAACAGTAATGTAAATCAAAACAAAAGTATACCCACAAATTTCTTCCATTTCAGATTATTCTGTTTGTCGCAGTGTCTGCCTTCAGACGGAAAGTCGTTGCATGTGAGGCTGCCTAGCTAATATCTTACATCATGTTGTTTATAAGTGATAGTGTGAGGAAAACATCACGTGTCAACAAACGCAGGACGGATTTCTGAGAAACTGAAACTTACGAGCAACAATAAAGTAAATAAAAACATTACTTTTTTAACAAGAGTTCTCCTTCAAATCATCATAATGTACATCCTAATAACAGTCATCATTATCTCATTCTTTTAATTGGCTGCTTGTTTTAAATAGCTGCGAGGTAAGTGCGCGCTGCAGAGCAGACTGCGCATGCGCCCACTGGAGAAACTACAAATGAAAAACAAAAGTTGTTTTTTTTGGTTTTGGTGTTCTTGTTAGATTATTAATGTCAAAACGAAAAGGAGGCTACCTTGTCTTTACTGTAAGTTAGCTAATATTAACATGCTGGATGGTGAACATTGTAAACATTATATGTACTTAACATCTTCATCATCATCATCATCATCAACAACAACATGCTGACATTTCTATCAGAGCACCACTGTGCCTAAAGCCTCACAGAGCTGCTATAGACTCTTCATCTTGGTTTAATAAAGTACTTAATTATCTGTTGAGCATTTTTAGACTTTTCATGTCTCTATAATATTAAACTTGCTTCTTGAAAGATGCTTTAAGATGAGTGTGTAGCATACTAGCGCTGCAGCTATCGCTTAATTAAGTAATCAAGTATTCCATCAATTAATCGAGTAATTGGATGAGAAATACTTTCGCTTTATTAAAGCAATATAGCAATAGTAAATATACATTAGAGAAAAAAGGAGTTAACATTATGATAAGGAGGACTAAAAGATACATATAGCCTATGTGTTTTCTGTGTTCATTATCAGGAGTTAATGGATGATGTGGAGGCAAGAACCTACCAACGCGTGGGAAAGGAAAAGGAATAAGATCATCATTTTATATTTTCTTTTTTTTTTACAATCCATACCTCTGTTTCCCTGGTAACACCTGAGGTCCTTCCTTACACCTGTAAAAATCTTTGTCATCCCATAAGGTTCTAATGCAATGGAAACTTGGTTCTCTACTCCAGTAAATAGAATGAAGCGTAGATACAACTTGGCAAGGGGACATGTTTCTAGTTCCCTCCGCTCATAGAGTGCTGTTGCTCAGCTACGAGACAGAGAGCTTGCATTATACTAGAGAGATTTTGACAGTATGTTTAACAACAAGACCAGCTAACTGTCCAGCCATGTCATTGTCCCCAAATCAATATCAAGATTTTCATGAACGATAGATCATCTTTAATCTGATGGTCGCAGCCTGAAGTTGGAGCAGAATAGTGAAAGGAATATGGGAGGATTATATATACTTATACAGAGGATCAGTAAGTTCAGAGAGGCAGTGTAGGTTGGTGTGTTACAGTCAACATCCTGTGGTGTTCAGAGGAAGCGGCACTGAAGGACTACAATCCAGATTTCAATTTATTTCATTCACATTCATTTAGAATACATCAGGTATTATTGGACACCCGGCAGCCCATCAGAATTGAGCATTCACCCAGTCCATTGTATAATTCCTGATAATGGACACCTCGTTGGGCATTATCCCTTAGATTTATACCCACAAATTCTGTCACATGTCATGCTAACGATGTTTGTACCTGTTCATAAAACACGGAACAAATCAAGTGTGTTATTCACACTGAGCTGCCCTGAGCAAATATATTGGCTGATTAATATATTATTTTCTGATCAATATGAGACAACGGTGGTGTCAAACAAAAATGTACTCCCAAATATCCTCCATGTCAGCTTTTAGAGTGAGTGTCTGCCTTCTGTGTCTGAGGTGAGACTTAACTGAGCACAAAGGACAGTATTTGCTGTGATGTACATCCTGTTGGCATACGTAGGCGAGGCTACAGTATGTCATATTGTTTTACATTTATTGAATTCCTTCAGGAAGGTGTGAGGATAAGATCATATGTCAACAATCACAAGAATCATTTCTGACTAACCGAAACTTATGAACAACAATAATGTACTGTAAATAGAAACAACAACTTTACTTTTAGAGTGCTCCTTCAAATCAGCATACGTTCATCTAAATGTTATTCATCATTTAACTTTTGGATACTCAAAAAAGAGAATAGGTTTGACGAGTTATAATAGTGTAATAGAACATATAAGGGTTACTGTGGTGTATTCATTGCAGTTACTAAATATATGTGATTTATATTTTCATTACTCATTTATTTTGATTCAGAGGAGTTTTACGAATGTTGGTAAAAATGCATAAATACAGAAATAATACATGAGGTTGTCAGTATGTGAGGTGAATTTCCAAATGCAAAGACAAACATGATTGAGTACCACTTTTTAATAAGCTCATCTTTTTATATATTATATATAAATTTTAACTAATGGCTTTATTAATGGTTAACAAGAAGAAATTTAGGATTACCTGGTTGAGATTTATCCTTTTAGTATTTATCCTCCCTATATAATAATAAATAAATCAATATTTGGTGTTTCTACCCTTTGCCTTCAAACCAGCATCAGTTCCTGTAGGTACACTTGCACAAAGTCAGGGATTATAGTCATGTGTATGATCAACTAATTATACCAAACAGGTGCTAATGATCATCAATTTTACATGTAGGTTGAAACACAATCATTAACTGAAACAGATGTGTAGGACGCTTAAAACTGAGTGAGGAACATCCAAACTCTGCTACCAAGATGAGATTGTGGAAGACAGATTCATGTCACAGGTCATGCACCATGGCAAGACTGAGCACAGCAATTGTATTGTTGATTGTATGGCCCCCACAGAGCCCCGATCTCAACGTCATCAAGTCTGTCTGGGATTACATGAAGAGACAGAGGGATTCCTTCAAAAACTGTGTGCAAGTGTACCTCAAAGAATTGATGCTGTTTTGAAGGAAAAGGGTGGTCACACCAAATATTGATTTGAGTTAGATTTCTCTTTTGTTCATTCACTGCATTTTGTTAACTGATGAAAATAAACTATTAATGCTTCCATTTCTGAAAGCATTCTTAGTTTACAGCATTTTTTCACACCTGCCTAAAACCTTTGCACAGTAATGTATATTAACTAATTAATGGCTTATAACTATTCTCTTAAGATTCAGTACATATTCATTAATCATTAATAAAGCCATTATTACAATTTATAACAGGTTATGAAACAAACGTTGAACCTCCAAGAGCACAGCAGCATCATCTTCATTGCCTTTAGATTCAGTTAAATATCAGAACAAAGATTCATCAGAGCTACAAATGAAAAATCTTCCACATTTATAAAACAACCTTTTGGCTTAATGAAATACTTCATGACAAGATTGACATTCATTTCATGTTTATTTGATAGGGATCGATATAGTTTAAGTACAGAACTGCTTTACAATTATCTAATGCAATGTTTCACAGCATTTATAACTACATCTAAGTTCCAATTCCCATCCCAAGAAGGGCCTTTCAAATAACATGTTAATAAACATGTTAAAGGAAAGCAAAGTTAAACTGTGTTACATTGTGTTGACCTTGCAGGAATACATAGTCATACATACATACTTGTTTCTTGAAGGATGCTTTAAGATGAGTGTGTGGCATACACACAAAACAAGATTTTACTTAATTATCAGATTTATCACTGTACAGAAACAACATAATTTGTTGTTGGCCTTATTAGGTTAAGAGTAAATATGTTGCATGTCCAAACTGTAAATCTTTAATGGGTTCCAGTTCTGTTACAAATAGCTGATAACAGCCATCCTGCTGTTGCTCCAGTGCCAGCTGCAGCTCCAGTGGAGAACCCAGCGGCACCTGCAGTGAAGTTACATTACATGTGAGTATTACCAACAGACCATCAGCTCCATGTTACACTTGTCTGTAAGTAAAGCTTTTATTCCACAATCTAAAATGACTTCAGAACATCTGCAGGAGATTAAAAGTTACACACCCAATGTTTTCCTCCACCCACTGTTATTAGCAGCATGTTACATTTGAATCCATTAACTCATTTACTCATTGAAACCTTTGAGTCTAATGACAACATTCACTCTCTTTGGAATTTAGGTTAATATTAAACACAATGGTTCATTATCGCCCCAGCACTTTATTAGTTTGACTATCCAGCTCTGGCTGCTCCTCTCTACTACAAATGTATTTTTGAAAACACCTTTTCCAGATATTTTTATTGATCATTGATAAAAAAAAAGTATAAATAAAATATGCAGTTTACCATGTGACTCGTAGAATGCCGCCAGACCTCCTGCTGGCACTCCTCCATAAAAGAAGGCCCACATCATTGACATAATTGTGGCAGCAATGGAGCCTACAATACTTCCACCTAAAGTGAAACCTATGAGGGCCAGAATTACAGGCAACAGGGCCACAAACGCAAGAGTTCCTGGGCAAGAACATAGCAGAATAAAAATTAACATTGTCTCTGATCAGATTACAATGAGGGGGAATTTGATATTTAAAGCTTTACAAGTTTTTTTTAATTTTACCTCCACCCATAACGGCGACCTCACCTGTTAATGAAACACAGAAAGAAATCAATATCATGTTACTCACCCTGAGCTGCCCTGAGCAGATAGATTTGCTAATTAATATATTATTTTAAGGTAAATATCAAGGAACAGTATTTTCAAAGATACATATATACTCACAAAGCTCTTCACATCTGTCCATAAGGTAATCCTTACCTATTAATAAAACACAAAACAAAATAAAACCATGTTATTTATGCTTACCTGCCCTGGGGAATATTAATTAATATATTAGTTTCTGATTAATATAAAGAACCAGTATTCTCAAAGAAAAATGTATACTCACAAATGTCATCACACGTCATGCCAACGGTTTTATAACCTGTTAATCAAAAACATTTTATCCACACTGAGCTGCCCTGAGCAAATATATTTGCTGATTAATATATTATTTTCTGATCAATATGAGAGAATGCTAATGTCAAAATAAAATGTATACTCACAAATATCCTCCATGTCAGCTTTTCGAGCGAGTGTCTGCCTTCTGTGTCTGAGGTGAGACTTAACTGAGCACAAAGGACAGTATTTGCTGTGATGTACATCCTGTTGGCATACGTGGGTGAGGTTACAGTATGTCATATTGTTTTACATTTATTGAATTCCTTCAGGAAGGTGTGAGGATAAGATCATGTGTCAACAATTGCAAGAATCATTTCTGACTAACCGAAACTTATGAACAACAATAATGTACTGTAAATAGAAACAACAACTTTACTTTTAGAGTGTTCCTTTAAATCAGCATACGTTAGTCTAAATGTTATTCATCATTTACCTTTTGGATACTCATTGAAGTAAAAAGGGGCAAAAAAGATAATATGTTTGACGTGTAAGGAGTAATAATAGTGTGATAGAAAATACAAAGATTACTACGGTGTATTCACTGTAGTTACTGATTACTACATTACTATAAATATTGTATTCATTAGATCTGATTATTGTAACCATAACAGAACAGTGACTCACTGGTACATTGAAGCTGTTGTAATCAGCTGTTTGGTGTTTGTCTCCTCCTGCTGTGAAGAGGAAGAATTCTTCTGGCCACCATCAATTTCCATCCTTTTTTATTTTCTCTGGATAAAGGCTTGAGGTCACTCACTGGTCTCTCTGTAAAGTAAAAAGCCTTTCCTGCACTAAAAACTCTTTAACACTTCTTATTCTTGACTGAGAGTAAGAGGTTGAAACCCTTTTTTCACATCTGCAGCGCAATGAATAATAACCAGTTTGCGTTTTGTGACAAAAAAGACAAGAAAGAGTGTTTTTTTTATTACAGTCATCTTTACTTCAATCTTGAAACAGAGAACTTGACTGCATAAAAGTCCACAGTGCTCATTTGGCCCAGATTCCACTTCTGGGTAGGTTTGTCATTCAGTACTAACTTCAGAACACTAGAGCAACAATAACAACAACACACCTAAATAATAAAATAATACAGACAGACAACAGGAAGAGAGACACAGACCTTTTCGGCACTTTAGGGAAAAATATCAGAAATGAAAATTGCACATGATGGATGTCAATAAATGCAAAATATATTAAAACTCATCTTTATTGTTTTAAACAAGATACAATATTAAATTAATATCAAGTAAAATGATCCCATTTTACCAATATACTTTTGTAATCTTAAAATACATTCATATACATTGATCAAACAACTGCAAGAACAACATACACCAACAACATGCAAGACTGACAAAAGAAAATCCAACTAGAGTGAGAAAAAGGCACCAGTTTTAAAAATATTTAAACACACAGACAAGCAGGAAAGTGATGAAACTGTATTGATCCAAATGGAGGTTCTGCATAAAGTGACTGATCACATGTCTCTTTAGTGCAGCTGTGTAGCTTCTGATCAAGTGAGCACATCCAGGCTGTATTCAGACTCCCTCTTTATCAAAAGCTAAGTCATTTCATGTGTCCTCAGTAACCTTTATAAATAAATATTGTTCAGAATGTGAAGTTTTCTAATATTTGGTTCTGATTGATTTTAAATATATTTGAATTATATTTTCATTGTTTCTTCATTTTGATTCAAAGGGGTTTTACGAATGTTGGTAAAAATGAATGAATTTGAAGTTGCCAGTATGTGAGGTGAATTTCCAAATCCAAACAAAATAATAATAGGCTGATGTTTTTAAATATTTAGAACTTTTAACTAATGGCTTTATTAATGGTTAACAAATTTAGGATTACCAGGTTGTGATTTAGTCCTTTGATATTTATCCTCCCTATTTAATAATAAAGAAGTTATAAATGTTGGATTCTGGTTGAGATCCTCTGCAGCCCTTTTCCACAAGGTACACTGTCATATGGTCCAAACAGTGAAAGACATTTGTCATAACTTGTAATGCAAACATTGTTGATTAATATATCAAAATAAAATATATATTAACTAATTAATGGCTTATAACGAATCTGTTAAGATTCAGTACATGATTCATTAATGAATAAATGAGCCATTATAACAATTTATAACATGTTACTAAACCAACGTTGTACCTCTTTATGAACAGATGAACCAATGGATAAAATAACCCTCTGAATTGAAATGTCTTTAACTGATAATGAAAGTAATTATTTCATGAATGTTGTCACAATATTACATAATTAATTATATAATTATATACACATCATATTGCATCACCTGGGGTTTTATCACATTCTCAACCTATTTGCAGGACATTTTTTCTTTTAAATAAAACATCCTCAGCTGGTTAAAGCCTTAATGAAATGTCTCCTCCGCACAGTGATGTCCAGGCTATTTGGCTCCTGAAGAAGTCTCTGTGTCTTTAATTCCTTTCTTGCTAACTCTCTGAGCTATCCCATACGGCACATGGCACGCTACTGTTCCCATTTCCGCTGCTCCCTCCACATGAAACATCTGGTCATCAAAGAATATGTGCGGCCTGATCTTCTCAAGCATGGGGCCCTTGGGTGCCCCCGCAAGAAAGAGAGCTTCATCGATCTCCAGACCCCATGAACGCAAAGTTTTTAAGGCTCTGGTACCAGAACTGGCTGCGCTGCGAGCTGTCACCAAGTAGGTCCGGATGGGGCAGTCCATGCGCTGGCCTTTGCCATAAAACTTCTTCTGCAGTTTTCCTAAAGCCTCCAGAAAACCTTTCAATGGTCCCTGCAGAAAGAAGAACGAATACAGTCAGCCCACAGTCTCTATTTGCTGCTTTACTATAAATATTATTATATTAGCCATCATTGGTCTAATAATTACTGAGATATGGAAATGCGGTGACATGACAAAAAGATGATGCTTGTTAACAGCGCGTCTGATGTCACCATATTTACCTATCTCAGAAATACCTTTTGTCGGTACAATTTTATCGTAAATCGAAGAAATCATGGTCAAAAATACAAAAAATAAGAGTAAGTTGTAGCCAACCACAACTCCCTTTTCATGCACTACATTTCCAATAGCAGTGTGATACTGATAATTGTCACTATGATTATACTGTACATGGTCCAGAGGCTTGTTCTCATGTGCCTTCTCGTGCTCAAAGAACTTGTCCAGTCCATGGGCCTTATAAATGCGCTCAGACTCATCAGAGAAGAGGACGGCGTCACCATCAAAGGCAACACGCAGCTGAGTCTCAGACACTTCCGTTATCTTCTCTGGGGTGAACATGGTGGCTGCTGCTATACCTGGATGAATGGTTGAAAATCAGGTGTGTATCAGTACATCTTACGTAGCACGTAGAATTGACACTAACTTTTTGCTTCCTTGGTCTAGTATTACAGCTTCTCAGTAATATGTAGCTTCTCTCTTTGCACTGACCTTCCTCCAGAGCTTCTCGAACCTTGGCAGGATCAGCAGACAGGTAAAGGTTAGTGTGGTAGGCCTTCAAGTAGCCTATGGGACTGTTTCCCCCTGTCATACAGAAACGCTCGATGAACAACTCTGCAAAGAAGAGGAATCAAAAGTTCAGTGAGCAGCTGAAGATATGAAAGAGAAGTGATGAAAACCTTCAGGATTGCAGTTGTTATAAAAATATGCTTTTATAAAGGATGAGCCACTGATTACTTATTGTTTATTTTTACAATGTCACTCACATTTGCCTAACCTATATATTTCTGTATTAATGGTGAGAGAAGTTAAATACTGTTATAGTGATTTTGATCAATAATATCAAAGTACCAGAAATGCTTCCAACATGAGAAATTCAAGTTTCTACGATTTCAAAAAATTCCAAAAAAGAAAAAAAAATCAGGGGTGATCAGAAGCACAACTACCTATGTATTATTACATTCAACATCAAATACTGATTGCTGGTGGTGTGGGGTTCTAGGAGGCAGAGCATGGAAACGGAAGAGAAACATGCAGCTACATTAGAGGAAAGAGCCTGAGATCTTGTCTCCGGCAGTGCAGATTTTTCCGCTTGGCTTGACTACATCAGTGGGTGCTGGGTGTGGGACTGCCAAACCTCTGCAAGAACACAGCATCCTTAACTCCCCCCACTCATCCCCAGAAGTCATATTGTGGTGGGTGGACCATGAGAAAAAACCCACCATAACTACTGTCAGTCTCTATTCATCCACAGGGAGGAGAGTGACCCCTTAAAACTGATCCACTGACACTCAGGGCTTCACAAAGGAAATCAACAAAATAGCCTTTATTAGATCAGAGAAGAGATCCTTGGATTACTGGCCAGTTCTCTCTCTCTCTCTCTCTCTCTCTCTCTCTCTCTCTCTCTCTCTCTCTCTCTCTGTGTGTGTCTTCCTCTGTCTCTTTCTTCCTCTCCCTGAGTCAACAGAGGATTCTGTGATGTCCTGAATAGACTTCATGAACACACTTGCGTGTCTGTGTGACCTGGCTAGGGACACTGGGTCATGGGGTCTCTCACAGTGTGGGAATAGAGAGGACCAGCTGTGCAGAGCAGCTATAGAGAACAGAGCAATGGTACATTGCTTGAGTCCAGCCCACCCTCAGTGTGTTTGTGTGTGTGTATGTATACGGACCTGTGGTAGGTCTTGTGCTATTTAAGGAGATCACCTAATGAAAACATAGGCATTTTTCTAAAAGGTTATAATGGTAGGTGATGCTGAAATTGACCTATAATACCTGAAAACTGTCCAAGTACGTATTTACTATTCATTTGCGCTGCATCTACACATACAGTGTGCTCATGTCTAATTCAGTTCACAGGCGCATTATTGGTCTCATAAGCAATGAAAAGGGCGACCCTGGTGACTTTCAAGAAACCCTCTCAACAGGACATATTTGAAGCTATATGAACAGTTAATTGATCCTCCAGCACGAGAGAAAAAAGTAAATAACTTGAAACCCCTCTGCAGAAAAGGAAGTGTATATTTAGTATATTTTTCTTTTTGTCAATAAATCCCTTGAAAAGAAAAGAAACTAACATTGTGTTGGTGCGTCTCAGTACTTTCCGTCTTTGTGCTAAGTTAACCGTGCTGGTTGCAGCTTCATATTTACTGTATAGAGATGAGAGCAGTATCAGTTTTCTTGTCTAACTATTGGCAATGAAGCGATTAAACATATTTTTCTGTAGAACGACTGTCTTATGTCTGTTGTTCTGTGGATGTCCTGTGAGAACCACATATCTGTCACAATGTCAACTTTTCATGGGCCACAAAAGACAGAAATGGTTAAATGGTTAATTGAGCTTGAAAAGTGCAAGAATTTTCTCAACCCATAAAAGAACACTTCATCCTTTAGTTTATCTGAGAAATTCAAACTCACCCAATTTTAATAGTTGTTAAAGAAATGGTCAAACTGTCCATAGAGAAATTAAAACAACATAGGTGGGCTTGTAAAAAGTGAACTATACTGAAGTTTACCAGGATTGTCTAATTTTTCTGCGAACAAAATATTAGGATACCAACTAATAAGAAAGATGTATAACTACTAGGGCTGCACGATGAATCAAAATATTATCAAAATCACAATATGGCTAAGTGCAGTATGCAAATCAGAGAAGTTGCCATTTTTCGATAAAGGTAAAAATGTGTTAACAGTATTATAATGAAGTACTGTAGCGCTGCAGAGATGCCCTGGTATACAAATCTTGTTCTCCAAATTTAATTTCAGATATAGACCCCCAAAAAATTCTCATCATGATGATTTTAATAGTTTTTTTCAGTGAAAATGTAATTTTTGTTGGAAAAATGATAATTCCCACACTAATTGTGAATCATATTGCAATCCCAATATGATATATTTACCATATTGTGCAGCCGTACAGCAGAGGCTGTGACATACACCAGACAAAGAGATATTTCACACTGTCTTATATGTTTTCATCATTAATGTGTATTAGTAACTCACGGTGATGATTGATGGTGTTGATGAGTCTTAGGCCAACGTATGCATGGTTGTTGGTCATGAGCACAACATCAAAAAGCTCCTCACTGTCAGGGTAAAGCTCCCTCAGTCGAGTGTTCACAGCCTCCAGAGCCTGGCAACACCACCAAACACAGATTTGAGTTATACAAAAACACAATACATCACTGCAGTGGGGATGGAAGTGAGTGGGTTGGTGTTTAATGCTTATTGCTCATTCACCGCCTCCAGAGACACGACCTAACATGTAACACTGACACCAAGGAATCACTCTGCAGCGGGTTTGATATAGTGTTTGTTTCTGCACCTCTTTCTCTTTATAGCCTCTGACCTTGACAAAGGAGAAGGCAGGCCCAGGGCTGAAAGGCTGCATTTCATGCTCCACCTGATACTTGATGTACTCTTCCATGCCTTGTTGCTCGTAGATATGCTGTTCCTTCTCCATGTTGAAGAGGACTCGTGAGGAAACGGCGATGGTGATGGCATTTTCCGGCTTGGGCTGGGGGGATAAGAGTTTAAGGAAACGTTTAATTTACGTCCAGCTTTGGCTTGTTCTTCACAAACACAGATTATCCAATCAGAGTTGAAACTTGTCTGCCTGTAGAGACACAGTACATTGTTCATATTCTGAGCAGTAGCAGAAGAATATTGGTTTGGTTTGCTGACTCTGACAGTACCCAATACAAATGAATAATTTAATAAAGGCCTTACTGCCACTGCCTGATATACAACAGTGGGTAAACTGAGTGAGCTGGTGGGATAGAATAGAAGTGACAGTGAGATATGAAATACTTTCCTCTGCAAGACTCTGATAGTGCAGGCTCACATACCAGACACCTTTTAACTATTTTGAGACCAAGACAACAACACATTATTCTGACATATTTTGTAATCCATTTTGAATTTGTTATGAGTGGGCTGACCTTGAAATAGATACTTTTATTCAGATTTAAAGACAGCATTAATCTACAAAAACTGTAAGATATGAGAAACCTTGGAATACGTACAGGGTGAGACATTACCTCCACTACTTAAAGACTATTAAACAAAGACTCCATGTCACATTGCTCCCAAACTTACATCAGAGATAACTCCCTGCATCCTGCAAGAGCCAGAAGTTGTAGTTGTTGGGTCTGTTTTTGTATTTTGGCTCATCCTGTCCAGATAAGTAATCCAAACGAGCCAACAGCCTTTACAAAGAACCCTGCACCTGATCTGAAACAAGATCCCTCTACACTTCTCTCAGTTTCCAGGTGGCACAATAAAGCATAGCCGAGCCTCTGTATCTTGTTTCACCCAACAACATCTTCATGTAACTTTCTTTCAGTAAGGCTTCAACTGCAGCACTTGCTAGTAAACCTGCTATTAACCCTCCTGCTGTTTTGAACGCAGCTGGACTCTGATAGAGTTGAGAGGTCAGAGTGTCTGTCTAGTCTCATCTGTCATTCATCATGTGACATCAGTCTTGGCCACTGTGAAATAAACAGCCGTGAGTAGAGAGCACACATGTGCCTTCACAGGTGACTAGCAAGAAAGAGCAACAAAATTCAGCTCCAAAATGATGACAAGCAGATTCAATTAGATTTTCATGAACATCTTCATGTCTCAACTCAGTGTACCTGTACATGGATGCTGCATAAGGAAGGCTGTAGGGATACTCACTGGTTTAGGTTTCCTGGTGGGAGTGGAGGGCTTCAAAAACACCCTAGCATCTTCCCAGGCAGCTTGGTTGCTGCTGCTGCTACTGCTATTTCCAGTCAGGTCCTGTTCTCTGACGGTCAGAGTTTGACCGTTGTTTAGACTCATCTTACCTTTTCAACTCACCACTCTCCTCCGTCTCTCTCAGGTCCACACTGAGTCCCAGTGTGTCCTCAGTTTGCTCTCTCTTCTAGTCTCTTTCTCTTTCTAATATCTCTCTCTATCTCTCTGGCAAGAGTTCCCTGAAAAGTCCTTACTCAGTCTTGCACATTCACAATTTGAATTCAGTCCTGGTACACTCAGGACATCAGATCAGAGGCACTCAGCCAAATGCTCTAAAGAGACAGACAAGGAGTGAGATGCTGCAGAATAAAAAGGAGATGGAGAGAGATTTAAGTAATTCCCCCCTGGGATTATTAAAGTATTTCTGATTCTGATTTAGAAAAAGACTAATTTCAAGCTGTTAGTATTCCCTCTGATCTGCAGCATCATACGCATTATATTCCTCGTTTAGCTCATCTGTGCTTGTCTTTTTCTGTGTGTTCCTCTCTCTCTTTCTCTCGCTTTCACACACACTGCTGACTTCGAGTTATTTTGCATCCTCCCCCTTTTTAACCCTTTCAGGGTCTAATTCCCTGGAGCAGCAGCAGAACATGTGATTTATTGTGTGTGACAAATGGTTGATGAACCCCATTGGATAAAACAGGTCCAAAACACTGCTGTGTCAGTCATGATGTCATGATGCTTGTAATGAATTCATGCTTCAGTTCTCCTAATAGAGAGGTGAAGTTTGATATATTTGAACAAAGAAGCAAAGCTAATTTCTCATACAGTATATCAATAGATAATTTAAAGTGAAGATGGGGGTTTTTTGTTCTTTTTTTTTAGATGTTCTTAGTACAAAAGCAATTTAGAGGTGCATTTTATCCCATGGGCTCTAACCTCCCAATCTTACAACGGGAGGATATTCCTGTTCAGCAGTGTGGGAAATGAAGTCCATCCTGGGTCATTTGCTTCCTCCTGTGCATCTAATGATAATTTCTTCTTGCCTCCTCCCATGTAAACCCCTGCAGGATCTTTCCATGGATTGAATTACAGAGCAGCCGTCCCAGTTGCCAGGCAACGGCCAGGGAGTCAGAGTGGCTGGGACTCCCATATCTAGGATCTGATTGGCTGTGGGGGACACCCGACTGCATATATAACCCTCCAAATATGGCATAAATCAGAAACAGACTGGTGATGCAGGGAACAAAGATGAAAGTCTAAGTTTCGCTTTGAAGAGCATAAACGCATGATAAATAATATTAGCTATGCTTTAATCACAGCAATCAGGCAGTTTACCTACTACAGATGTTTTCGGGGAAGAAGAGCAGACATCCATGCAAGGAACAAAGGAATATTAGAACCAGCAACCTGACGTGCACATGCTGGATATAACTGCATCCATCAGCCGCCATCATCTTTATTTACCCGTCAACATTACAGAGGTAGTAAATACTGACTTTTCAGTGAAAATATACAGTGTTGCTTCCCATACTTTACAGGCATTAACATCAAGATAGCATCAAATTACAAAACAGCAAGGGTCCATTACACCTATCAGCCCCCTACTTCTAGAGGCAACACACATGAATTTGACATTTGCAAGTATGCCGAAGTAACTGGCAGGATAATGTGTCTGGCTGTGACTGCACACTCTCCTCCAGGGTCTCCAGGGACCAGGTGCAAAGAGCTTTTATCGACTGACTGAAGACAGCTGAAGGATTTTGTGTATATTTTATTGTTCGAAACTTGAGGAACTGTAGATGTACACAATATTACGTATTTGTTTTGTACTTAGATGTATTAAAATTAAAATGTTGTTGTAAATTAAACTTGCACACTCATTAGTGTCCCAAAATGTATGTGTGTCTCTGTTGTCCTGCTTTTTTAATTATTACTGAGAGACTCTCAGTAATGTGGTGGTTTTGAAAAAGCCAAATCAGTCATTTATTGCATTTCATGCTCACACCCACTAGAGTGCAGTAGAGGATAGGTCAGCCTGTCAGCCTTAGGTTGTGGGCCTGAATACTTTACTGCTTCATTCATTCCTCGGGGCGTTGTAGACAAAGAGGACTTGAAACAGAAACTGTGAGTGTGAGAGAGGAAGTTGATCTGAAGTTTTTTTGTATCTTGAAACACTAACTTTGGCATAGTAGCTGTGTGGCTGTAATACTCCTCACTATAGGGACTTTAAATGTCTGTGGTAATCAGTATGTACTATTTTGACCTCAAACCTATGGTTTAAGTAGAATAAAACCCAGATTTTTAAAGTTTAGAACATAATGACTAACACTCTGTTGATTGGTTAAATGTGACATTATAAAGCTTCATATAATGTAGAAATACTACATTTCATGACTGAAGAGCCACAGCAAAACTCACATTTATACCATTATTTTAATCTGTTTCACTGGAGGAAGTAAATACTTCATATTCTGCTGTATCTAATGAACATCAGTGATACATTTACCCTTTATGTGTCAAAGCCCTGAGCCTACACTTGCCTCTGCCTTTGTGTCTCTGCTTACCAGTCTGAAGCTCAGAGGGGGTTAACAGGACATGGAGACAGTTGGGCCGCACCCACTGAGCTGATTTGAATAACGCCGGCATTTGGCGCGATGCTCAGAAGAGCCAGCCTTTCTTCATACCGGCTGTGACACCACTCCCCTTCTCTCCCCTCCCCATGCACCCTGGAGTGGCGAGAAATGTTAGAGAGAAAGACACACAGAAATAGAAAGAAGGAGGGATATTGGCACTGCACTGGCTGGACTCTGAGATTTTTGCACAACTACTCTGTACCTGCAATCACTGAGTTGCCCTGGAAACGTGTCAGATACACTATGTACCTTGGAAAAAGGACAGAGAATAAGAAAGGAGGAAGAAAAAGCAGCACGCCCCCCTCTCTGTTTTGGCGCGAGTTGGATAGAGAGATAATGCTCTCTCAGTGGTAGACTGTGGGTGGAGACAAAAGCAGGCATGAGTGGAGCGGGCCAGAACAAAGAGGGTAACAGCCTGGACTACCCCCATACCTCTTATCAACCCCCCACCCCCCAACACACAGCCTGAAGGCAGATGACTATTATAACCTTAATCAGTCCTTCAAAGCAACCTCTCAGGCATGTTTGCCACCACCAGACTCTTTGTTCTAACTGGGGTTCCTCTTAGTTTTGGCTGGAACCCTTCCTCATCTTCCATAAAAACATACATTCTCAGAGGCTTTCCTCCTTGTCTTACTAGAGATAAGAGCTCGCGATCATCCGCCGCCAAGGTAAAAGACCCATATGAAGGTCATTTGCTGAAGTGGCAGCACAGACCATTACGAGCACCCACACCGCCACTCAAGTGGCATTATTGGATTTGTTGTTATTGGCTTTCAGATTCACCCCACCCTCCTAAATCTGTAGTGTAAGTAAGTGGGTGGCAGCTGACTAAGCACTAGCATCTTTTCGTAGTGTTATATTCACCCATCAGAGAGCAGAAAAAACAGAGCAGAGCAGCGGTTCCTCTCACTTCCTGCCTCCAATGGGCTCAACACAAAAACAGGAAGTCTGTGCTGCCTGTGTGTTTCCTAGGCCTTATAACAGAGCCTCCCTCTCTCTCTCTCTCTCTCTCTCTCTCTCTCTCTCTCTCTCTCTCTCTCTCACACTGTTTCACACACACATACAGGCCTATAGTGGGGAAGAGGAAAGCAGGGCACTGAGTATTACATAAGCTCCACAGTGGTGGTCACTCAGGCCCTGACGACAACAGCAGTCACATTCAGACGCTGGCTGAAAAGAAGGAATTGTAACCATGCAGGACAAACAGAGGCGTCTATACACTATACATTCACCATGTGATAAGAGACAATCTGATAACACACATAGCGTGGGTGTGAGTCTGCATGTTAGCATTTAAAGGTATATTATAATATGTATGTATGCAAATACACCCTATATACAATCTCATACTGCAGTAATTTAGGTGGGGGGGTTCTGATTATTGAGGGCCTGACCGAGGCGGAGACAAAGAAGAGCACAAGCGCTGAAGTAGAGATCTAGAGGGGGGTTATAGTGGCGGTGGTGGGGGATCTATGAGGTCTGCAGGGGGTTAAAGGGGACGGGGGGAGGGGTAAAGCCCCTCTCTGAGTAGCTTGGGGGGGCAGAAGGAGGTGGGGGTTGGTAGTGACGGCACTCAATGGGGCTAAATTCAAAAGATGCAGCAAGTGTCCCAACTTCAACTGAAGCAACCTTACACCGCAGAGCCAAACAATGGAACATCTGCTCGCTGACAAAGAAAGCGTTTCGCTGTGAGAGCAGCAGTGGCTCTGATTTAAACTGCTACTCTGTGGATAAAACCCCCAACAGCACCAACAGGTTTCAACATATTTCTGCGATAGTAGATACTTGGCATCAGTTTACTTCCTTTGGCACTTCTTACTAGATTGCTTCATCTTATTTTGAAAGCATAAAGCATTAAAAGCATAATGTAGGGGAAGTTGAGTCTATGTTCGAAAGCAGTTTGGGAACATGTCAAATTCTAGGTCAAATAGTGTATTTACTACATTTACTTATCTAGTTTTTGAGAGAGGGAGTATCCAGGATGTGTTCATGTATATAAACGTCATATTCTGGTTTCAGAAACATGGATAGGCCCATATGCAAATTTTGTGAAACTTAATGTGCTTGCTGGGCTACTTCAGTGGGAACTGAGCAACTGTGGCATATAAACATCTCGTCCGGGATTACATGCTGAAATGAAAGAGACATCAGTAATGTTGCACCTTGATTTTTTCTGCCAATTGTGGGTCAGTGCAGCAAGCTGTAAACACAACGTTGACATATTATCATGATATAGAATTATTAAGGCATTTCTTTACACATCAAGCCGACACAGAGT